GTTTGTTTTGTTTTGTTTTGAGACGGAGTCTTGCTCTGTTCTCCAGGCTGGAGTGCAGTGGTGCAATCTCGGTTCACTACAACCCCCGCCTCCCAGGTTCACGCTATTCTCCTTCCTCAGCCTGGCGAGTAGCTGGGACTACAGGCGCCCTCCACCACGCCCGGCTGATATTTTGTATTTTTAGTAGAGATGGAGTTTCACCCTGTTAGCCAGGATGGTCTCAATCCCCTGACCTTGTGATCCGCCCGCCTCCACCTCGCAAAGTGCTGGTTTACTGGCCTGAGCCACCGCACCCGGCATGTTGCTATTACTTTTTAAGCCCTTAAAAACATTATGGTTTTCTTGATTTGACACATCGAATCCAAAATTAGCTGATATTCCAGCAACACATAAAAGTCTCTTTTTAAATTAAAATATTATATGAAGCACTTAAAGAATATAAGTAAGAAAAAGTAGATCAGTATAACCCTTTATACAAAAAGAACTATTAGGAGAATTTTAGTGTAATTTCTTACACTTTTTTACTTATTTTACATAATTTCATACTGCAATAGATACTGATGTCCTGTTTATATTCCCTTTAATATTATATCATAAAAGTTTTTTTGTGTTTTATTGCAAATACCATATTAAAGTAATACAGGAATTTAGGTCAAGGTTTTGCATAAATCTATTCCTTAATTCAATTATTGTTTCTATTTCATTGTCATCTTCTAATCAAGTTTTACTTATTTCTGGTTATATCATTGACTGAATTTTATTTTATATTTTTGCTTAGTGTTATAATAGATATATTTTTATATTTTGCTAGTATTTTACCCCCACCTTCCCATTTCCATCTCCCCAAAAAGTAAATGTTAATAGTCTAATATCTTACTCTATTAAAATATAATCGTGTATAGAGACTTATACATATGTGAAAGTGTAGACATACGTTTATTTACAGAAGTATTATTATGTATACATTTGGAGCATCTTTTTCTCATTTTACAATACAAGAAGAACACACTCTAGGTCAGTAAGTGTGGATCTACCACATTCTATGCAATAACGACCTAATATCATAATATGGCTATACCATAATTTATGTGACCATTATTTATTGATGGGCATTCAGGTTATTGTAGGTTTTTGTGGGTTTTACTGTAATAAATATTCTTAAACTTAGAGCTACATATTAGTGTTTATATAGCAGAGCTTTCCAGAAATAGAATGTATGGGGCAGAGAGTATAACTGTCTTAAATTTTAACAGATAATTCACATTGTTTTAAAAATGTTACAGGAATTTATACTCCCTAGACTAATGTATAAGAGTAGTGTTTTTGTCTAGCATCACCTGTATTAGTTATTCTTTTATTTATTATTATTATTTTTTTTTGTAGAGCAGAGTCTTGATACGTTGCCCAGCCTGGCCTCAAACAACTGGGCCCAAGTGATCCTCGCGCCTCAGTCTCCTGAGTAGCTAGGACTGTACAGATGTGTGCAACCACACCTGGGTTTAGTTACTCTTTTTAATTCTTGGAAAACAATGGTGAACAATGTTATCTCTTTGTGTTAATTTAACACAAAGTCATATTCTGTGTAAAATTATTTCATAAATCTCATTTTAATCGCTGCATATTATTCCATTGAGTAGATGTATTAGAGTTTTTAATTAATTACTTTCATTTGGGTATTTTTTAATGCTTGCTATAATGAATAAAGTTATAGTAAACACCTTTGAGGTGAAATCCTTTAAAAATATTTTAGAGTTTTCTTTAGGATAGATTCCTAGTGTGCAGTTACTAGGTCAAAGGATAATTTTGAAGATCCTGAAATGTATTACCGAGAGCTTTCTGAAAGGCTTGTACTATTTAACACCACCACTTATTCCATGTTTTCTGCCTGTGTGCCTACAGATGAACTCTGAATTACCCATTGTCTACACATGAGCGTAGCTTCTATTCTAAACCTGGTTATCTCATACCCCTATTTTATTCACTCCTCTCTCAATGAAAGGAATAAATCACTGAGTTCTATTTATTCAGCCTTAATTCTTTAATAGCTTTTTAATATCTACTTTTCAGAATTTTACTGTTTCCTTAGCTGAGGCTGCTTCTCTTCTTTGCCTGAATGACAGCAAAAAGCCTTTTAACTGGCCTTACCTCCAGTCTTATCATCTTCTAAGCCATTAGCCACCTTCTTTCCAGAATATTCATTCTGCAATACAGATCAGATCAGTAGCACTTCTCTGTTTAAAACCAAAAGGCTATTCATACTCCTTAGGATGAAGGGTACACTTTTATCTCTACAGCCTCATCTCTCTCTATTCTCATTTCTTTTCCCTATCCCCTCTTTTTTTCCCCTATCTCTGAACCTTTATGCTGCTTGCTACCTCCTTTATTTGTCCTCATCTTATGTGGTGGTTTCTTTTATCTCTATACTGTCTACCTTCTGACCTTCAAGTTTTGTTGGCTCCTTCTCCAGTTTGTGTGCCAGTTTAGTCATAGCACACTGTCATAATTTCTTGTTAAGTTGTGTGAAAACCCTCCCTCCCCTCATTAGAATGTGAGCTTCTTGAAGCAGAGATTGTATCTTGTTTATCAAGGGTTCCCAGAACTTCACATGGTACCTGTTAGTACCATGATTTGTAGTATGTCTTTGTTGACTAATTGAAAGCAGTTTAGGGACTTATCATCTCTAGAATGAAGTTTTATGGTATAAAAAGGTTTTAATTATCTGCTTTTTTGGATGCCTCTCCAAACAAATTTCCCAAGACTTTTGCTCCTTCACACATACTCTGTAAAAGTCAGCTACGTGTGTTTTTAATGACTATACAATACTATTTAACATCTTTACGCTTTTATAAAATCCTAATTTATATCCTATTCCTTTTAACTGGAATGCCCTCCCTTCCTTGCCTTTTCTCTTGTTAAACTTTTTGTCATTCTTTGAAACTTCGCTGATTGTCCTGAGTTTAATTAACATCTTTTCATCCTTCAGGACATAGTATGTATAGATTTCTTTTATAGCATTTATTGTAATATTTCATAGATGTGTTTTTATTTCTGTTTTTTTTCCCCTAGTGGACTGAGTTCCAATGAGACCTGTATCTTTGTCATTATATTCATTTCACCTAGTGTCTGCTAAATAAGAGATTATCAGGAAATTTGGTGAATAAATTAGTGACTCAGCTATATTTGAAGAAACATTATTTTAGCCTATGGGATACAATATTATTTTAGAGCCCGATTGCTTTAATTTTTAGACATGATTGCCCCTGGGCCTTTTTGATTTATAAATCAAAAGATTCTAAAAAGATTGAATTTAGCAAGACACTAAATGGGTGTGGGTGTAATGTATTTTCATGAGGAGAAACAATATTGTAGACAGACCATAGAAATCAGAAAATGGTAATATAACTTAATATTATTACCTTAATATCTATAACTTTTTTATATAGTTGAAAAATACTTTTTATAGTAATTTACATGTCTGCTTTGTAACAGTTGAGAAATAATGCATGTTAAGAAAATAAGGCATTTTGTTCATATTTGCAATATCAATTTTATTACATTTTAGAAATGGAACTCAGTTTGCATAACCTTAGCTTGAAAATAATTGGTACTGCATTACTGGGAAATAACTTACTCTTCTGTTAACATTAAATTAGCATGTTTCTATCTGTAGTAGTCATAGAATATGTTATTCATGGTTTTTCATACAATTTGAGGTATTTGCATTCTTGTTTATATCTGGAAACATAATTGAAATATGGTTCCTTTACCCACTTATACATTTAATTTAGGGTACTTTGGTATTGAATTTGACATTTATGAAATTTTATTAGAGGGCAATAGGCTTAATTTGTCCCATCATTAGAAAAATTAATTAAACTGAAGATCAGTAGGGAATCATGAAAAAACTTGTTTTAATTAAAAATGTTCATTGCTTATATAGTGTCATAATTCCTGTTTCAGTTAATGGTAACCTGTCAAATTTAGAGTGTTTTCAAATTTGAAGACATTTTTGATGTTGTTAAAACTCAAGGAAACTTAGTTCTGCTGTATAAGAATAAAACTAAAATTTTAAGTTATAACTTAAGTTTATTTTTCTTTTCAAGGTAAATGTTAATGGGAAAAGTGATTTATTTTATTTTATTAAAATAAATTTGGCTGTAGATTTTTTCCTTAAATACCATATAAGTGAAAAGAACTATAACCTGTGTGGGTATGTATTTGTATATGTATATATATGTACCTAGTGGCATTTTAGAAGAAATGATTTAATGATAAATGTTTCCAAAATGTTATTTGGGTTAGGTGCCCCCTTTACCATCAATATGAAGCCCAGGCTCCTTCCTTTCTGTCTCTCTCTTGTTCTCTCTGGGTGTGTGTGTGTGTGTGTGTGTGTGTGTGTGTGTGTCTGTGTGTGTGTGTACATATATCTATATGCAGAATATAGACATTTTTGTTTTGTTTTTGATCATCTGGTTTTCTTAACCTCTATGATATGTAGTAAACTTGGTAACCTTTTTATTTTGGTTTTGTAGCAAGATTAATACAAATATTAAACCTGGAAGACCTTGTTAAAACGTAATGGTAAATTTAAAAATTAGTTTTTTATGTTTCAGTGGGAAACATATTTGTCTTCAGTGAACACATGGCTTACTGACTCTGAATATATATGATATTAAAAAGTATTTGTAAGATAATTTGATTGATTTAAATTGAACTTCTCGATTATTTGAGACTATTAGTAACTACTCAATAATTTTATAAGTATAAAAGATGGGATTTGTACTTTATAAATTATATTTAAGGTATTAACTTTTATGTGAAATGGTGAGTAGGTTATGGGTAGGGGTGGGGAGCTGGAGTGGGGAAATTGGAAGAAAAGTATAATGTCCAAAACCGTTAAGAATAAATTTTTATGCTTTTTAGTTTGAATTATTTTTTGTTCATTATAGTGTTTTCATTTTGTGAGTTTTTCTATGCACATACGAAATGTTTCTCCTCAGGCCCCCTTGTATTTGCTGGTCCTATTTTTATGAACCATCGAGAACAGGCTCTAGCCAGACTCAGATCCCATCCAGCACAGCTAAAGCATAAACGGGACAAGCACAAAGGTATTTGGTCTTCCTTATCACCTAGGTGGGATACTTTCCCAATTTCTTCCACTTATTTGAATTTTGTCTCTGGGAAAATGCACAAACCTGATTCTTCTACTTTGCTTCTATCATTATGATGTAGCCTGAGGAGAAAGAACATGCTGAAAGTGGTACCATTTGTCAGTGACTGTCATGCTTCTTGTTTCATTTTTTGTTGTCGTTAGCTTTCATTAAGGAGACATTTTACAGTATATATTTTTTCCATTTCTTTTCAAATTTCAAAAAATTAAGGGAAGGTGAAAAAAATTATTGCTTTCTATCTTACATCCTTTATTATTTGCTCCTTAATGACAGATCTGGCCTTTTACAATTCTTTTTTGAATGCTGTTTATATGCTTTAGGATGAACAATATTACTAAATTCAGTATATTAAATGATGATAGTAAGACTGCCATTACACTTTTCCACTGTTTATTAATTAAATTTACATATATGACAAATGAATATACAAATATTTGATGGTTGTGGGTTAAGTAGAGATAAGTGCAAGCAAAGCACAAATCATGAAGACTTTCTCTAGTCCCTGGCATTGGTCAGAGGGCTCTCCTAGTCTGTGAGGAAGTAGGAATCTAGCTCGGTATTGTTCTTGGAGATCTCAGAGTTCTGGGTTAATTAAATATATTCTTAAAGCATACTTATTTTCTTATAAGCCACAAATTATGGGTCAGCTAAGATCAGGAAAGAATTTAATACGAAGAATTTATAAAGTTATATAAAATGTTTGCCTTGTATCCTGGCCTTTGAACCAGTGCTCTCCCTTGGCTAGCACAACTGAAAATTGCCATTTTCTTAAATGCCTAAGATAGGTCCTGCAAAATAGAATAGGAAGTTTTAAAACATGCTTTCCATGTGGACAAATTAATCTAATTAATGTTTGGATCCTTTTCTTTTTTTTTTTTTTTTTTGCTGCAAAACTGTCATAGTGTAATTAAAAAAAATTTTCATAGGCAATATAGTTTAATCAACTTTATTTTGATCTGCCTCTTTCAGTCTGTCAGTTTGCCAATCAAAAACATAAAATAGACAAAACTCATCTTTAGTAAAGGTATAAATGGAGCACAACTTAAGATATACTCTGCAGAAATAAAAAGTGTTTTAAATCTAATGCAATTAACCACAGTAAAATTTGTGATTGCTTTATTTACTGAGTGCTTTAACAATGCCATAAATATTTAAGGAATTTTCAACCTGAGACAGCTGATTCCAAAAAGAAAAGATATATATAAGGAGTAATATTTGGAGTATGCAATGAAATTGTTATTGCCAGAATGTCTGATCTCTTATGATTTCTACTATGTCACAATTAAAACAGATTTTTTTTTGGTTTCTTTCTCCCCCCAAATACATGAAAGTGAAGTTTTCCCAATAATTTACCTGAGGTTAAATATTCACATTTCATGAAACAGTTTAAAACCTTTTCAGCTCCATGTGAGTGTCTCATGGACAAGTATCTTTATTCTTTCCAGATTTTTAAATGAAATGTTAAATGAAGACCAAGGTTACAAATTTAAAGCAGACTTTTCCCAATGTCACATAATGATTGGCTATAGAAATTATTCAGTGCCGCTAGGCACAGTGGTGCACGCCTGTAATCGCAGCACTTTGGAAGGCTAAGAGGGGTGGATCACTTGAGGTCAGGAGTTCGAGACCAGCCTGGCTAACATGGCGAAACCCCGTCTGTACTAAAAATGCAAATAATAATAATAATAATAAGCTCAGTGTGGTGGCACATGCCTGTAATCCTAGCTACTCAGGAAGCTGAGGCACGAGCACAATAATCACTTGAACCTGGGAGGCAGAGGTTGCAGTGAAAAAACAAATTATTCGATGATAGCTAGCCTTAAAGTTTGTTTGTCAGGGAGTTACTTTATGACAAGTTTCTTCGTATACTTCTGGCAACCACTCTGTGAGGACCTACTTTGTAATGTCACAGTGTAGGACCAGTTTTATTGGATTTTAGGGTTTTAGAGAGTGAGATAGTTTTCTCTTTTTACTCCCCAAATACATTTACAATGCAAATAATAATTTATCAATTGGTACCCTGTTTTTTTTTTGTAAAGAGTATTAATTTACTGCTCACTAATTTCCCTCCAGCCACTAACCATTTACACTCACTGTCTTGTCATTTAATTCTCTCTCCATTCACTGCTTTTACTTTTATGGCATGTCGAACATCCCTAATTTGAAAATTCGAAATGCTCCAAGATCTGAGCACCAACATGAAGCCCCCAAGTGGGAAATTCCACACCTGACCTCCTGTGACGGGTTGCAGTCTCAGCACACAGGTTATTCAGTGTCCTTAAGTAAAAACAATCCTCTCGGCCCTCTTCAGCTGTGATAAAGCTTTTCCATGCACAGCATGATGGTGACACCAATCACAGTTTGTCTACATGGGTGGCGGGATGTACCTTTGCTTTCTGATAGTGCAGGGTATACAAATTTTCTTGCACCAAATTGTTTAAAATATTGCATAAAATTATCTTCCGGCTATGTGAGTAATGTGTATATGAAATATCAATGAATTTCACATTTAGACTTGGGTCCCATCCCCAAGCTATCTCATTACTATATGCAAATATTCCAAAATTTGCGAAAAGTCCGAAATCCAAAACACTTCTGATCCCAAGCTTTTCAAATAAGGGATGCTCAACCTTTACATATTTTCATAGTCTTGATAAGTATTTTTTCTACATATATTTTTCTCTTCACCTTACCCAGTTTATCTTCTAGTTTATCTACTGATAAACTGGAAGTTTATGGTATTAATTGTTATGTTCTGTCTTACATTTAATTATGTTGGTACAAATTATAGGATGATAATAGTTAAAATTTTTTTAGACTGTGACTTTTTTGTGATAGTGTATGGAGAGTAAGAACTGTGGATTCATTGTTAACAGGGCTAAGTTCTAAGATGGAAAGTTGGAGAACTTCTGGGTGATTGGAGAAAATTCAGAGGAGGTCACAGAATTCATCCTATACAGGCAGATATTGACTAAAGGCAAAATAGAGTATATAGACTGAATCAATAAGTACAATTCCATATGAAATACAGTAATTTATTCTAAAATGCACCCATAAACTATATTTGAAACAGAATTAACATTTGCTTCAGCTATTCAGTATCTTACATAGAAAAATATGTTAATAGTATACATAGTTAGGAACATTTGAATTGTTTTAGAGATAGTCCTAAAATCTATTTTAAAATGACAGATGTGAAAATCTGAAGACACACGGATAAACATCCGAGTCTATTTTGTACTTTCTGTTTGGAAATGTTACAGTGTGATGAAAATATCATAGCCTTTGGAATTAGGCTTCAATTTTATTTCTGATTTTGTCATTTACTAGAACTACATGGCTGTGCAAAATGTCTTAATCTCTTTGGCTTCAGTTTTCTTATTTAAAAAACAATAACAGGTAATTCTTAACTGATTGTGTTGCTATGAAGATTGAAATATGTGTGTAGTCTTTGCACACACACATATGTAGTCTTTGCACATATAAATCCTCCATGAATATTAGCTTTAATATTTTTAATTGAATTATTTGTTTTCTCTTTCAGAATTATCTTAAAGTACAATATTTGAGATTTATGAAATGCATAGTTTATTTTTACAAAAGATTTAAGGTTTCAACCATTTGGTGGTGGTAAAACGCATGAGCCTTATTTGTGATTAAACTCCAAATTCGTTGTGCCGTTTATGATTTTGGGCTGATTACTTAACCCCTTAACCCTTTAAGCCTTATTTTTTTCATCTGTGAAATGGACAAAGAATGCCTATACCATCAGATTGCTTTATTCATTAAAGAAAGCGACAATAGTAAATATTGATTGAGCACTTTTCATATATTATTTTATTTAATTCTCATGGGACCCTGATGAGTTATATGTCATTGTTACTGTATTATAGATAGGCAAGCTAAGACCAAAAGGTCCAGTGTCCAATTGTCATACAGCCAGCAAATGGTAGAGCCAAGATTCCAATCCAAATTCTTAGGTTCCAGTACCCCCAAGCACTCATCCACTGTGGTATTTGTTTACAGTGTTCAGTTAGCACACAGCAAGTGCTTAGGAAATTGCAACTACTTTTGTCCTTGCTGACTTGTTTTAATGATTTTGCTCAAAGTACTCACTGTGTTCTGTGGTAGTTTCTGTTATATGCATAACTGTAGGATTACCCTCCATAAGTATAGATTTCAGTAAAAATTAAAATTAGAAGTTAGAGTTCCTTAGATACTGAACCCTCTTTTTTCTCTGTGTATACAAATATGTGTATATAATTATATATAATGTGTACATACATACAATATTTTAGTTACATAGTTGCCAAGGCTTTGTAACTACTGTAGTTTCAATGTTACATAGTACACACACACACACACACACACACAACATATTCATCTTAGGGAAAATACAGATGTGCTGATACTTAAATGACCAATTATAAGATTATTCACATCTGTCAATTTTGTTTTGACAGACAATATTTAATTTTTTATATAGATCTAAGCTTTGATCTTATTGCTGCTCATTAACACTTTACTGAATAATGAGCTTGAACAGATTTTTTTTTTTTTTTTTTTTTTTGGAGACAGGATCTCACTCTATCACCTAGGCTGGAGTGCAGTGGCACCATCACAGCTCCCTGCAGCCTTGACCTCCCGGGCTCAGGTGATTCTCCCACCTCAGTCGCCCAAGTAGCTGGGACTACAGGTATTCACCACCACACCCAGCTAGTTTTTTGTATTTTTAGTAGAGACAGGGTTTTACTGTGTTGCTCAGGCTGGTCTTGAACTCCTAGGCTCAAGTAATCTGCCTTTCTCAGCCTCCCAAAGCCCTGAGATTATAGGCGTGAACCACCACGCCCAGCTTGAGCAGAATTAATCTTGCTGAATTCACTTGCTGGTTCTGGAATTTGCACTAATTTTTTGGCTGCTTATTAAGTGCCTTTTTTCTTTGATAAACTTTGATTAATGTCTGAGTTATAGGAATTATACTCAATTTTTGACATCAAATACCATATACATATATATTTTAATTCTGCCACTGCCGCTGATATTAAGACCCTCATCTCAATTTTTTTACTTGTAAGATTTTCACTATCTGTAATAATTGAGAAGTAGTTTTGTACAGATATAGTTTGTTTCAATGAACAAAATGTTCTAGTATTATTTTGACCTCTAAATAATAGCTGCTACTTTTTTAGTCATTGTAGTTGTATTCAGTAAATTACCAGCCTTCAAAAAAAATATCCTTCTCTGATGCTATGTCTCTATTGTGGGATTTATGCCTATAAATATAAATCTCCTACTCAACGGAGGAGACGAAATGCTAAATTCAAAGATAAAACCTTCTAACTAGGCATCAATACATTTATATAAAGTGGAATGATACTTGAAATGTTTAAGTCTGGCAGAATTGTATGAATGCAATGTATTTTCTATGTTAAATCTCAGTTGGTTTTAATAATTAGACATTTTTACCAATTGAGATAAAGCTGTAAAATTTCTTTACATCTGGCATCTTATTAAATAGCCTTTGGAAGATGTGTGTGTGTGTGTGTGTGTGTGTGTGTGTGTAGGCCTTTGCATATATTTTACCATTCCACTATCTTTCCAACATGAGGAGACTTTGAACTGAGTATATTTTATCTTGGATGGAGTGAAACTAAATGCTGTGTGTGTGTGTGTGTTTTTTTTTTTTTAGTCCATCCATTCTTTGGTTTAATTTGGCAAACCCACATTAGATAATTTAGCAGAAGAGGAATTATATTCTTCATCCTATTATAGTAAAACCTCTCACTAATTCTGAATTTATGATATTTGAGATGCAGTATTTGTGATCTTTTTTGAGTAAAAAATTCAAAATAATTTCTTCCTCTGAATTTTCAGGGTCATACTTATAAGGGGAAACCTGTCTAAAATCACTAGCTTTTCAAACCAAGGGCTCAAGAAATGAAGGATTCCTTCAACGTGCCTTCAGCCTCTGGGTCCAGCAGTTAATTCTTGTATGTTAAAGGACTTTTATGTTTATGATACATTTTAAATGTAATATTGGCCTATTTTGAAATATGTAGGTAACCACACTCTATTTATTGTAGCATTTAGTTTAATCTGTAATCTGTACTGCTTGAAGGTAACGAAACTGAATTTTTACTTCAGTGTTCTGTATGATTAAGACTTCCAGTGAGCCACACAGGCCTACCTGTTCTATGTTATTCCGAATTAGTGAGATTTTACTGTCCTAGTGTCATAAAGAGTTTCAGGCTTTTTGAAATCATAGTCATTTAGTTATGGAAATGAAAGTAATAATGTAGGTGGATTTTGTCTCACCTGGATGTTACTAAAGGTTAGATAAAAAAAGAATAAACATAAAATGATTTACTGTTATTCTGTTTAACATTCTAAAATGCACAATGAAAATACAGAATAAAAAGTGTGTGTCTGTAGATTCACATATGTATCTTCATATACTACACACTTGTTTAGAGTTTCTATACCACTCGAGAGTGGTTTAGACTAGTTGAACTTGTGAAATTCCTTCCAGATTTACATTTATTCTGTGTACAAGGAATTTGAATCTTGATGATATAAAGGTCATATGTTAGTGATGTATAGGAGAAATACATTGTGATTAGAAAAGTAAGTTGTTGTTATTTACACATTCCAAACAAAAATTTTTATATTCTGGAATGTGGTTTTTGATGCTATGGTTAGATGGTTGGAAAATTCAAAGTTGGATTGCAAAAACCAGGGTAGAGAAAAGGCTTGAAGCAAGCTAAATGAAGGAAATTATAAGAAGGGAGGAGGAGAGAAGGAATGAAAGCAGAAAAAAGGTTTGGTTGAGAGTAGTGATTGGGAACGGGGAGACAACCACAAAGCAATATGGCTGAAGGTGATGGTGGCACAGGAAACATGAATAAGAATAGGCCATTGAACTGCAATATATTGAATAAAGCTCTTTGGTCTTTATACATTTTGAAAAGTTCAGTTGAGTTTCACAATACTGGTGGACAGTGTAGCCTTTCTAAGAACTGTTTAGGAAATCTAAATCACTTGTGAATCCATTAGCAATTTTTAAAAAATGGCTAGTACTAACAATATCACTAAGTTTAAAATAATTGTTAAATGACTTTGCATGCAGTAATTTTTTATGCAAACTAAATTTTCCCATATAAACTGTTACATTTTAAATTTTGTTATTTCTATAACCTAATGACCCATTTATTATATAAGGTTTTATCCATAACTAGATTTTTATCTCTGTTTTTATTAATTCAGTGATATTCACAAATGGAAGTATATAGTCTATCTTTCAAAATTGCTTCTTTGCAGGTAGATTCTTGATCTATCACTTCTAACAGCTACAGATTCTTCTTGCTTGTTCCTTTTAACATTTTTCTCTTGTTCTTCCATAATAAACTGATTTAAATTTTTATTTTGAAGATGAATAATGGCTTAATTATTCATAATTCACAAATTATAACACTTGCAGATGGAAGTGGAGAAAGAGGCGAAAAGGATGCAAGCAAAATCACAACGTACCCTCCAGGCTCTGTGCGATTTGACTGTGAGCTCCGGGCAGTCCAAGTCAGCTGTGGATTTCACCATTCAGGTAGCAGCTGGAACTTTAGGGTATAACTGCATTTTTACAATTGTGCTAAGTAACTTATTTGTTCAGATTTGATTAACATAGCCTGTTAACTGTGTGTTAAAAGCTATAGTGTGGCAATCTCTCAAATCTGTAAGATCTTTGTATTTATTACAGAATCTGTTTAAACAACTGTGGCATAATAGAACAAGTACTTGTCTAGAGATCTAACTTCTAGTCTATCTTCCTGCGGACTTCTTTTATAATTCAAGACATTCTTGAAGATGAAATAATCCCTTAAATCTTTTTCAATTCTAGAATGCTGCGGTTTTTGTAACATGTTCCCTTATTTTATTAATGTTCAGTGATAAATGTACGTCAACAAATTTACTTTCTTAAAATGTAGAAAATAATTAAATTCTTAGTAAATTATTGGCATTTGGGTTAGCTTATGCTGTACCGTTCAGCCTTTATAAAAATGAAAAATGTTAAATTCCTTCCTTGAAGATTATTTGATAAGGCATTAACAGACATTAAAGTTCTGCTCTTTCATTGATGTTGTACGTAATTGTGCAGATCTCCTATCCTAGATAGGAGAGAACAATATTTTATATGTAGTTACTCATTATTAAGATTTTACAGTTGACCTGAACCAGTGTGTTACTAAGAATTAATGTTATTAAATGGCATTTATAAGAATTTTTAAGTATGTATTACAAAAAAAATTATACATTTGTGTGACCTACAAAAATATTTTGCAGAACTAAAATTAATTTCTCATTAAACATAAATTTGTCCTTCAGTTACCTATTTTTAATGGTGCTATAAATCTTAAATAGTGAAAATTACACTGCTTTTAGTATAGTTATGATAGAAGTGTAAAATGAAATAATACAATGAAAAAGTAAAGCTGTGTGTTTTGGTTTCAGTGGTTTTAATGGAAAATGGAGATGTCTATACATTTGGTTATGGGCAGCATGGGCAGCTAGGACATGGAGATGTCAACTCCAGGTACTTGCTAACTTTTCATTTGAAGATCCTGAGTTATTTTTTCTTCATTTCTCTTTTCCTTCTTTTTTCTTTCTTTTCTCTTTTTAAATATATATTTCTATAATTAAAATAATATTATACCACTGCTTTGCAAAGTGTGGCCCGTGAATTATTGGGTGGTTTCTGATCTTATAGTTGAGTGCTTTTGTGGAGATAAAGGATTTTGTAGTTTCAGGAGAAAAGTTGATACATATTTTAAATAGGAGAGTGATTATGATTGTCACAAAATATCACTATATTCTTAGCAGTTATCTTTTAAAAGACTGTGCATGGCAATAGAAAAGATAGTGAATTGTGTTTTTTAAAAATGTCAGCAATGGATTCAAACATATTCTGATGTCTATTTTGAAATTTTGGTCTAATAACATGCAGCCATTGAAGCTTATGAATAATTTTTTAACAACCTATTGGTCTCTCTGAGTAACTATTTTGACTTACTGCAAATAGCAAAGAACTAATTGTAGTAGAGTGACTGGTAGTAATTTCCTAATATCTCTACTTCATTTGGTAGTGGAGTTTTAGTTTGTGACATGATCATGCAGCTAAAGATTCCCTTTCTCAGCCTGCATTGCAGCAGGATGTGGCCATGTGAACTTAAGTGATAGGTGCCACTTTGGAATCTTGCTGTTAAAGGGAAAAGGTATACCTTTCCATTTTCCCTTCTCTCCTCCCAGCTTGCTGGCTGGAATGAATACGTGGTAGCAGAAACTAAAGAAGTCATCATAGAGATACGTTGGAGACTGTGTATTGAGAATGGCAGAACTATAAGATAGGAATAGACTGGGTCTCTGACACCATGAACTGCCTCATCAGCTTCTTACAATTGCATGCTTCTTGCGTGAGAAATAACTTCTATCTTGAAGTCCCTCTTACTTGTCTGTCATTACAGCAGCTGAGTTTGTATTGTACATAATACAATCAGAATACTTTTGGTCAAAAGTAATAGAAAATCCATTTTTATTTGTTCAGGTCTTCCAGGAAGCAGATGCCAAGACAGGATTAGATGTGCAAATAATTTATTAGGGGAAAACTCCTGTGAAAAAGATAAAGGGGAAAAGCACAAGCACAGACAGGGAACACCTTCGGATACGATGTAGTTTTGACCCTATGAAAGGAGAAAGAGAAGGAAGAATTGGGTGGGAGGAGTCTTAAGTTACAGCATAGCATTAAGAGAGTTTTAGCCAGGCCAGTGATGTGTCCCCAAGCCGAGGATACCTTTGGAAGGGTCCTGCATTGGGCAGTAATAGACCAACATTCATACCTTCACCATGCTCAGTCACAGCTGGTAACACCCCAGGGTACGAATGTCCTCATGCATCCAAAGGGACAGCACCTGAGGCTGTTATAATAGTTACCTCTGCTCTCTGTAGCAGATTGTCTTGAAGGAGATGTGAGTGGTCTGTGTCTGTGGCTGTTTCACCATGGAAACAGGAGTATTTATGAAGTCTGGAAAGAAACAGAGCAGCTTCAAGCCAGACTTCACTCAGCAATTCACTTTGCTGCAAAAACTCACCTTTTTGACCCTCTACTCTGCCTTATTCTTCCTTGTAGTCACAGTGTGAATTAAGTGAAGACTTTTATGGTTTCTCCTTTACATACAGTGAAAGAAAGAGAACTTCTCTTCATGTAATCATTAAATAAAATTCAACGTTGTTACTGTGTCTTGAACTCACCCTACTATTGTGGCAGGGATGGAATTCTGTCATTTACATGGTAAATACTAGTGATTCTTAACCCTGGCTGTATATTAGAATTACTTAGGGAATTTGAAAAAATATCATACATGGACTCTACATCCAGCATTTCTGAGAGATGTGTGTGTTGGAAGGCTTGTGGCTGGGACAGGGGTGGGGAGTGGTCCTTGATAGGATGGCAGCATCAGTTTTTTTCTAAAAGGTCCCCAGATTCTATATGTATCCGGGATAAGAACCACTCTCCACCCCTCGAGCTGAGGCAGGGTCAGATCCATGGGCACTGCATTAAAAAATGGCAATGAAAGGGGGTGTCCTGAGTTACATTTATGAATTTTGTTCCTAATGATAAGAGACTATTGAGATATCATTGAGTTGAACTTCTTGTTAAAAACACAAGTGAAACATAAAATTGATACTACTATCCAGAGGTTTGTAAAACTATCACAATCACAAATACTTAATGATGAATATCATGCTTGCAAAGAGCAAAGATGTCTTTGGCAGAATTACTGTATCAGATGTGTCTGCTGGATATGACATAATATCAACAGGGTTGAGCAATTACTGTCACAGGTGTTAGATGCCAACTGATATTTTGCTCTGCAATTGAGTAACATTACTGAAATGCAGAGGCTGAATCTGGGTTGTAATTACAGTTGGCCCTCTGTACCTGTGGGTTCTGCATCTGTGGATTCCATCAATCTTGACAGAAAACATAGTTAAGCCTATGATAATTACATCTGTACTGAACATGTACAGATGTTTTTGTCTTGTCATTATTTCCTAAACAACAGAGTATAACAACTATTAACATGGTGTTTACATTGTATTAGGTATTATAAGTAACCTAGAGATGTTTTAAAGTATACAGGAGGATGTACCTAGTTTATGTACAAATACTATGCCAATTTATATAAGGGATTTGAGTGTCTATGGAGTTTGGTAGCTGCAGGGGATCCTGGAACCAATTCTCCATGGATGTTGAGGGATGACTGTAATCTGTGTGGGGAAGAACGTGGCAACGTTTTGTTCTGTTTCTCATTTGAGAGTTGGGACACAGAAGAAGAGGGTTTATTTGTATCATCATGGCTATTATTGTTGTTGTTATTTAGCTGTTGTTTATTTTGTGAGTCGTAGAAATTGGGAAAGGTGCATTGCAGTTAGGTAAGATGGGGTCTCAGTCATGTATGCAGCAAAGAGGGCACTTCACAGAAAATAATTGGCAAATAGCAGTATTTCGTGGTCTTGCCAGAGTGGAAAGGGAAATAGTGAAAAGCATGGCTATGTTATAGTCAGGTTATGTTATCTTACTCTGCACTTGACATTCAGAAGAAGGAGCAGCGGGAGCACAACATCCTTCCACTCTGCACTGAGGTGTGATGGCGACTGAGAGGGAAGGCGTTCATGTCAGCTTTTAAAATGAAGAGATTACCTAAAAACATGACTTCGTGGTCCTGGTTATAACAGTGAACACAATTCTTTGATTCCCAAGTCTGAAGAGATACAGGGCAGTTTCAGGCCAGACTTCCTCAGGTGATAATATTGTAGTAATATGCTCCCTATTTTAAATAGCTTGAATTTATCATCTTCATGAAATATGATAGCATTTAATGTTGAAACAGAATATCAGAGTTTCTTATAAAGATTAAACATTGGTGGGATCTACACAGTGGTGTAGTAACTGGTAGATGCTACATAGTGGTGGAACCTGGAACTGTAGAGGCAAGGTTCAGCCCTTCACTTCTTACCAACCATGTGACTATAATTTCTTAAGATTAAACACTGGTGGGATTTGTTTTAACTGCCCAAAGTTCTTTTCCAACATGGAATATTTTGGTCCTTGTTCCATTGAGTGGTAACTGAAAGACTGATTGCATGAAGTGTGGGCAGAGCTAAAATGGATAATGCAGTAGTCATACCTATATACTGTGCCTAGTGGATTAGATACTCGTCAAGACTGCTTCAGTCTTAAGCACTCAGTTACCCTGTCTGTCTGGACCTTTGTGGGACTTGCAGAGTAGCAGCCAAGAACTCTGTTATTAATTCAGAAAGGAATTGATTACGTCTGTGGAGGAACAATGTTGGGAGGAAGAAAGCTTCTATGGCATATGTATTAACTACAACAAAGCAAAATATTTACAGATAATTGAAATAAAGGGTTACAGTTGGAGAATATTTTTGAAAAGTCTCTAGTAATCAAGAGCTGTTAACTGGAATTTATGGTATAGCACACATTAATAATGTGTTGATTAAGATCAATATTGTGGTGTGCATGATAATGAAAATGGAAAAATGTTGTTGATATTCTCTTTATTTAATGTGTTATATTGCCAGAGTGACCACGTTCGGTCTCTAGATTGGGTCCTGATTCTGTTACTTGGTAGCTGTATGATCTTGGCAAGGTCACTTAATCTTCTTGTGTCTCAGTTTCTTCTTCTATTAAATGGAAATAAGTCTCTCTCCCACTGAAGATTGTGTGAGAATCCAGTGAAATGACACAGATGATTTAGCACAGAGCCTAGCCCGTAGTTAGTGCTCAATAAATGTTAGTTGTTCCTATTGCTGCTTTTTAAAGTGAATGTCAAAAAGCCGATGAGGGCTTTTATATATTCAGTCAGGACGTGTCTGCCAGCCCTCTTTTTTTGGTTTGTTTGGTGTGCTCTTCAGTTTCTGCATTTCAAATTCTTTTACCATGTTTAGTAAATTAGGGGTAAAACTGTATAGTTTAGCTGCTTTTATTCTCTTTTCCAGCAGAATTTTTATAATTCTTACAGTGTTTCTGAGTTTCATCCTTTTCTTGCTCTCCTATCCTCCTGTGCACTCATGTGCTATGCAGTCATCAAACCTGGAACTGTAGAGCCAAGGTTCAGCTCTTTTGCTTCACTCCTTATCAACTGTGTGACTATAATTTCTCTAAGCCTTAGTTTTCATATCCTATAGGATTGTTGTAGAATCAATGTGACGTGTGTAAAGTGCCTGTTGTGCACACATGCATACACACATAACACACAGTTTTTCTTTCTGTTCTTCCTCTGTTTTTCAAGTAATTTAATGAATGGACTCTACTATCATTTAAAGAGTTTGAAGACTATGTACTAGAAGACCTGCCACCAATTCTTGAGAAAATCTTTCAAACTCTTCAGATCTCCCCATAGAGTTATTTTGATAATCAGTGGTACAGTTATCACAGTGGTGATACAATTTCACATTTTGTATGTGAAAGCAATTTGTAAATTGCAGATGAGTAAACTGTTAACAGGAATTCTCCCTTCAGTTTCTTGTTTGCATTGGACTGGATGCTTCTGTGAGGGGATTAGTTCCACTTTTGGCCCTTTGAAGTGATAATCATTTGCAAAATCTTTCTGTACTGAGAGTTGAGAACCACTTTCCTTTCCACTGTTGTTCCTATCTGTATTATTCCATCCTCAAGTGAAAAACTACTGCTCTTCTGCGGCATGGCCATTCCTCTCTCCTCTCCTATTGTTACCTACCTACCTTTTAGTCACTGCCTTTCATTCGTTGAAAATTTAGCATCTGACTCAGAGTATTTTCTTACCGTGAGTCTTGTTACAGACATGAGTGATGTTGGTGTCCACATGAATGGTCCCATACAGCATTCTTACCTTTACATCTGTATTTCTGCATTCACAGAGGAAGTTCTGTGAACCCATGCTGGATCTAACACAGCTCTGACTCTGAATTCTCAGGTTTAAATATCCATAATCTAATGATACTTTCTTCTTCTGTGATGCAGCCCTACTTTACTTCCCTTTGACTTTATGCCCTACAACCCTCTACTTTTTTACTCTTTTTTTACCCTTTTTTAACTTTATGTCCTACTCAAGTTAAAGACTGTTGCTTAATTTCTTCACCTATACTCTTACCAATTTCTTCAATTTTCCTACTTTCTCGGTCATGGTACTAGGACATGATAAAACCGCAAGCATGAATCAATCTGTTAATATTTCCTATGCCTACTCTTAGGCTTCTGGAAGGTAAGAAATACCTATGCAGATTGATACATAATTTCCAATTTCAACCAGTTCCTCTACAATAGTCTTTAACCCTCCGGTTGTGTAGTATTGAACTATTTGACTTAATAAATTTTGAGAGTTTGATGAAAGACATGGGTCTCTATCCAGAAATATACAAGAATATACACTTAAAAATTTGCTTGCAAATTTAGGGGATCTTTTGAAGCTTACTCATGTACTTCCTAGAAGTCCTTTATATCCGAGTTGAAAACTCCTGCTCTTAGTATGTATCTGTTCCATCTACCATCACACCTTTTCTTGAATCTTCAAACTCTCCACTCACCTGCTTCCTCCTTTTAGCATAGGACCTCTGTGTACATTGCAACAAATATAAGAAATTATTCAGCCCACCAACCCTGCAAACCTACTTGTATCCATACCACTTCTCTGCTGCTTTCCTCATATTACAATTAAAGAGGAACCTGTCATGTCCGTGCTGTGAAACCTAGCTGACTTTTCCTTAGAGATCTATTTCTGTTTCCTGTCTTCTCTCTAACCTTTGGCTTTAGTGTCTTTATCTTGAGTAACCTTTTAAACTTCCTGAAATCTCTATCATTAAAAAAAAAACCCTCTCCTTCAGCTTCATTTTTCCTTGAGCTGCTGGCTCTCCTTTCTTTTCCCGTTTAGTCCTGGGATACTTAGAGCTACTTTGTGTATTCTCTGACTCCTTATCTGCTGCAGTGTGGTACCTGCTTCCACCAAAGAGACCTCCTTCTGCTAAATCGAGTGGTTAGTTGTATGTCTCCTTGGAGCATTTGGCATGTGCTTTATTTTCCATGCTTGAAACCTACTCCTCCAATGAGTCTCCTGGAGTTCTTTCTTCCTGTGTGGTTTATTCTAGATGTCTGTGAGCTCTTCTTCCTCTGTCTATATCTAAAATGTTGCCGGGCGCGGTGGCTCAAGCCTGTAATCCCAGCACTTTGGGAGGCCGAGATGGGCGGATCACGAGGTCAGGACATCGAGACCATCCTGGCTAACACGGTGAAACCCCGTCTCTACTAAAAAATACAAAAAACTAGCCGGGCGAGGTGGCAGGCGCCTGTAGTCCCAGCTACTCGGGAGGCTGAGGCAGGAGAATGGCGTAAACCCAGGAGGCGGAGCTTGCAGTGAGCTGAGATCCGGCCACTGTACTCCAGCCTGGGCGGCAGAGCAAGACTCCGTCTCAAAAAAAAAAATAAATAAAATAAAATAAAATAAAATAAAATGTTAGAAGATACTCATAAGGGAAATTGGGATCTCTTCTTTTCTCTCTCAGAGTCTTCCTAGATCTCATTCATTCTTATAGCTTAAGTGAATATTACCACTATACTCTGTTGCTTAAGCAAAAAAAACTTCCTTGCCCCATATCAATCATCTGCCAAGTTTCGTCAATTCTGTTCCTTACATAGCTGTCAAAGTCACCATCTCTTTCACTCTGCACTGCTCCTAGTTAAGGCCTTCGTCATAAATTACCCAAAGTGCTATAACATTTTCTTAACTAGGTTTCCAGCTGCTAGTCTTGCCCTTTTCCAATTAATTTTCATTGCAGTCTCAATAATCACTAAAAATATCTATTTTGTATAATTTTTAAAATTTGAAGTGTCACAATTACATTGTCTGAAAAGCAGAGCTCGCCTACTATGTGTGGACTATTTCTATAATGGTTGTTTTTCTAATTACAGATAATGGTTACTAAAAATGGCTATTAAAAGTAGGAAAGGATATTAGGATGTCATTTATCATAATAGTTACTGTTCATTAAGTGTTAACTGTGTACCAGACACTGATGCAATGTCTGGCACACATTTACCTGTATGGGCCTCTTTATTGTTCACAGGAACTCTGTGGGACACTGTTTGTTAGTATTTTCCATGCGATAAAGAGAAAACTGGAATACAAAAAGAATGAAAAACTTGTTTGAAGTCTGGTCACATTATTATTAAGTTGGTGAGCCAGGATTCACACCCAGCCACTCCAGCTTTGAATCCTGAGCTTGTAGTCACTGCTCTAATGCCTCTCATGATACTGTGTTTTGCTTCATTAACTATGATTCTGAGATCTAAACTTATAGCTTAGTGATAAAAGTTAGAAAAGGGGATCATAACATTATTTCATCTAGTTCCTGGATTGAATTTCTGTTAAGGCATTACATGATCTTATTTCATCCAATAAATATTTTTAAAGATCTCTAACAGGCCAGTCAGTATACAGAGTACCAGATTAAAAATAATGTAAAAAATGTAGCACCAGTTTTTCAGAAATATTAAAAATTATGTGTTTATAATTAGGATAATTACATTTAGAAGATCTTTCTGATGATCTCCTTAAAGTCAACAACTGTCTTTTTCATCTTTGTTTACCTAGTACCTGGAATGGAGATAGGTGTTTAGCACTTAAATGTTTACTGAATATTCTTATTAGTGTCTTTTATCTTTTCTACTCCTTATTGCATTGTTTACTTATTGTTTTTATTTTAGTTGAGTTTTGTAAGAAATTGACTTACTTTTTTTTTTTTTTTTTTAACCTAGGGGATGTCCCACTCTTGTTCAAGCATTGCCAGGCCCTAGCACACAAGTCACTGCAGGCAGCAACCATACGGCAGTACTTTTAATGGATGGACAGGTCTTCACATTTGGAAGTTTTTCTGTAAGGAATTTTTAAAACATTAATAATATTGCATTATACCATTGCCTTATAATTTGTCTATATTAGCTATTTTTTTTCTGGTTCTAGTGCAGTTCTTATAATTGTTACATATGCATATTTCACGCCTTCATCTGCAACACACACAAAACTTGAATGATATTCTTTGAAGTAATTTTCCTCTCTAGCTCAGCATTAGAATTTATTGAATTTAACAGCTTTGTTAGAATTGGACATGTTTATTTCAGATTAAAGTCCTTTAAGCATTCAGTAGAGCTAATTCTGTCATATGAAAGGTTATTTCTCATCTAACTGGTAGAGATGAATTTTTCTTAACATATAGAACTATGCTATTTTGTAACCTTTTAAAAGCCTAGTTTTATTTGTTCGATTTGTTTAAAATTATACTTTCTTTTTTCCTTTTCCACCCTCTGAGTCTATCTGCCTGTCTGTTGCATAGGCGCTTGTGGGCATTCTCTCCCTCTCTCTGCACCACAACTTAAAGAGTGGAAATGCTGTAAGAATTTTGTGTAGTTTGGGCATAGTAGATATCAAGAAAAATCTTTGCGAGACTGTGCTAATACACTTGTACCATTTCTGACGTGGGTAATTACTAAGAACTCTCAAACCTAAGTGTCTGGGATGACATTTACAGCTTCTGATTTTTAAAAAACTGTAAATATGTACTTAAAATATTTTATTTGGAAATGGTTTCAAACTTACAGAAAGGTTGCACAACTAAGAACAGTGCATAGAATATCTGGTTAATGTCTGTAACCAGATTCACCTGTTGTTAACATTTTGATCCAGCATTTGCGTTACTATTGTACATGTGCCTGTTCTCTCTCACATACATAGTGTGTGTGTATGCACAGATGTGTGTGTGTATGTATGTATATAAAACTTTTTTTTTCTCAAATCCTTTGAGAATGTCTTGTGTACATTGTGGCCCGTTACCTCCTACATACTTTAGTTTGTATTTTGTGAATTAACCTAATAATTATTTTTTGTCATTTCTTTCCCCTCCAATCTAGGATCAGGCATTATGTTTGCCTGTTGTGTGTCTCTAGTCTCCTTTAATCTGTAACATTTCCACAGCTATGTATTGTCTATTATGACATTGACATTTTTGAAGAGTATATAGTACTGTTTTAAAAAATAGAATCCTCCTCATTTTTGTTTCTCTGATATGTCCTCATGTTTAGATGCAGGTTGTGCACCCAGGCCAAGATACTCTGTAAGTGATATTGTGTTTGCCTCACTGCATCACATCTGGAGGCTCAGAATATCCATCTGTTCCTCCTTGATTATATACATTTTGATCACCTGATCAAATGTCTGATTTCTATACTGTTTCTTCTTTGAAACTATAAGCAGCCTGTAGGTTGACACTCTTAAGATTCCTGCTTCTCATCAAAATTTCTCCCTAAATTTAGCATCCATTGATCATTCTTTCCTGAGCTAGTCTTTACTATAATGTTTAAAAAATGGTGATTTTTTTCTACTCCAGTAGGTACTTCGCATTTTACTCTAAGCAAGAGCCCTCCTTTCCTGTTTACTTTTGTTTCTACTTATTATTGATATAGACTCAGGTATTTGTATTTTCTTCATTATCATCTTTAATTATTTGGGTGCTTAGATTATCTCAGATTTGACCGGGGGGTGGCCCTTCATGCTGGCTCCTGTATTCTTGTGACATACCCCTTCATTTTTGGGGGCACTTCCTTTCATTCCAGCATAACAAGTTGTTCAGGGTTTATCTTGTACAGGCCCTGTATCAGTCCTAGAATCAGCTGTTTCTCCAAGAACCCTGATTCTTTTTAGTGGGGAATAGTATTAGACACCAACTGGATACTAGATGTGTTCATTGCTACAGGACGTCTTTGGATCTCCAGTACACATATATTTATATGTCCACATATGTAGATGTATTTTAGAAATCATAGGCCAGGCATGGTGGCTGATACCTATAATCCCAGCACTTTGGCAGGTGAGTGCAGGAGGATCACTCAAGCCCAGGAGTTTGAGACCAGCCTGGGCAACATAGTGAGATCCCATCTCTATTAAAAAAAAAAATTAGCTGGGTGTGGTGGCACATGCCAGTGGTCCTAGCTGCTCAGGAGGCTGAGGTAGGAGGATCACTTGAACCGTGGAGGTTGAGGCTGTAGTGAGAGCCGTGATTCTACCATTGCCCTCCAACCTGGACAGCAGAGCAAGATCCTGTCTCAAAAAGAAAGAAAAAGAAACAAGCCCACACTGTGACTTCTACTTCCAATCCATTCCCACAAGGTTCTTTCTTACCTGTCCTGTTCTATATTTATGTTCTTTCTTCCTCAGTAAGAATCTTTCCTCTCAACAATATCAATGTATTTATTTCTCACTTAATCCCCAAATATGTTTAAAATAGTTTTACATTTGCTTTGCCTGTACAAGTTCAAAAAAACAAATTTACTGAAAGGTCATTCTTGCGCCTTCCCCTACCACCTGCTCCCCACCCGAAGTCTGAAGGTGTATAGTCAAGCACTGTCCGTGTGTGGCCTAGATTCTCTCTCTCACTCCCTTTTAGTGGAAACTGTGATTCCTTTGGAACAGAGTGGGGCTCATTTGTTTCAGTTTAAGATTCCCCTCACCCTGTCCTTTGATTGAATTTTATTTCATTTTTTAAATATATAGAACATTTACATGTTGCTAAAAGTTAAGTTATACAAAAATTGTATACTCAGAGGTGTTACTTCCTCCCATATCCTTGACATTCCTGCCTCCTCACACCTTTCACTCCACACTTGGAGGTAATAAATGCCATTGTTTTACAGTTTATTCTTCTTGTGTTTCTTCTGGTGAAGATATATAAGCATGCACACACACTGTTTTACCTATGTGTATCTATGTATGTATGTATGTGTATACACAGTTACGCACTGCATAACAGTATTTTGGTCAGTGATGGACTGCATGCATATGCTAAGGTGTTCCCATAAGATTATAATAAGTACTTTGACTATACCTTTTCTGTGTTTACATACAGAAATACTAATGGGTTACAGTTGCCTACAGTGTTTAGTACACCAGCATGCTGTACAGGTTGGTAGCCTAGGAACAATAGGCTACACCATATCGCCTGAGTGTGTCATAGACTATACCGTCTAGGTTTGTGTAAGTCTACTCTGATGTTCGCACAATCACAGAATCACCTAATGACACATATTTCAGAACATATCCCTATCATTAAGTGACATGTGACTGTACATAAATATATGTATTTCCCCTTTCTCATTTTTTAAAGCTAGTAGTCTGTATATGCTCTTTTGCACTTTGCTCTTTTTGCTTCAGTATATCTCCTAGAAATCACTCCATATCAGTTCATAAGCTCTTCATTTTTTTTTTACCTCCATCGAATACTCCATTGTGTATATATATGATAGTTTATTCATTCAGTTTCTTATGTTTGTATATTTACATGGTTTCCAATACTTTGCAATAATAGTAATGAATATTGTTCGAGGTGTATCTTTGAGATAAATTCCTAGAAGTGAGATTACTGGGTTGAAGGTTAATGCCTATGTAGTTTTGTGAGATATTAACAATTCTCTTGTATTTTGCTTTCACACTAACAGTGTATGAGATTGCCTGTTTTCCACAGAATTGCCAACAGAATGTGTTGTGGTACCTTTAATTTGTGCCAGTCTGATGGGTGAGGAATGGTCCTGCTTACTTTCAAGTTCTTTTGCCTTTAGTTGGTGCCCTGATCCTTAAATTTCGGATCCATATTTAGTATTTTGGCATTGAAGGTTAACTTTCTCTTTGGAGGGATGTGTTTCCCTGTGCTTTTTCTAACTTCTCCACACGCCTCTGTTCTTCTTAAGAACTTCCCCTTTCATGCTGTGCACATGCTCAGGTTTGCAGTAGCAGGCGGGTGGAGAGAACTCTTGGAATTTGGCTTCTGCTTACAGGAAACATAAAGATCATGACACCCGCTGTCTCCTTATACTGCTGAAGGTTTGAGTCACCTGTAGATTTGTTTGCACAGCATGTTTTTGTGTCTTTTGAGGTGGTTATGTGAGTGATAAGATTTGAAGCCAGACAGTCATTGTCCTCTAGTCGCAGCAGTCCTATTTGTGAGCTTTTATGAATTTAAATGTAGCTCATTTGTAACCACATTCTGAGTCTTTACGGGGTTGTGCAGATATCTGACACATTTTTGGACTGCTTTTCTTCATGTTAGTTGGTAGTAAGGGAATACATATTTATTTCAATAGTCAATGAAAAAGATCAATGAAAAAGAAAAGAATTTATTTTTCCTCCAAAAGCAGAATATATCCCTGAATGTGATGTATTTTGCTCACTATTTACCTTTTTTTTTTTTTTTTTTTTTTTTTTTTTTGAGACAGAGTCTCGCTGTGTCGTCCAGGCTAGAGTGTAGTGGTGTGATGATCTCAGCTCACTGCAACCTCTGGCTCCCAGATTCAAGTGATTCTTATGCCTCAGCCTCCCGAGCAGCTGGGATTACAGGCACGCACCACCACACCCAGCTAATTTTTGTATTTTTAGTAGAGACGAGGTTTCCTTTGTTGGTCAGACTGGTCTCAAACACCTGACCTCAAGTGATCCTCCCACCTTGGCCTCCCAAAGTGCTGGGATTATAGGCATGAGCCACAGCACCTGGCCTCTGTTTACATTTTTATGCTCTCTTATTTTTCTTTGTCAAAAAATGAGGACAGATCTTAAAAGAGGGTGAGAAATAAATGTTGAATGTTTTGACTGCTTCTCTAATCATGTGCTTGCCATGTTTCCTTTCCTGGTTCTGTCCAGGGATTGAAGCTCAGTTACTTCCACAGTTAGTTTGTGGCTGTGTTTTCTCGCTGTGCTACCTGGTGGTTGGATGAGAACGTGACCAGAGTGTTCGCAGTGCTCCAGGCTCCCTTGTTCCAGAATGCTGTGGGGGGAGAGAGGTCCTGAGCCAGGGGTGGAGGAATGTCTACTGAGTCAGTGTCATCATTCTTTTATTCTTTTTCAGCTACAGGCTTACTAGTGAGAAACTTCCTATTACTTTTTAAATTAAACTCTTACCTGACCAGGTCCCTATAAACAGCCATACTTTTAAAGTGGTTAATAGTTATTTGCTTAAAACATGATACCTTGCCATTGGTTGTGCTGTTTGTTTTAAAACATAAATGAAATAACTTAGGGACATACCATGTGAAAACAACATTACATATTTTTCTAATTGTATTCACAGTTCCAGTATTTATTTTGGTCTTTTTACTTGAATATTCTCTGGTTATATGAGTTCAATAGTGACTTTCTTTTATACTATCAACTTATGTCAAAGTGACTTTTTAAATGAATAATTTGGAATACTAATATTTTAACATATTGTGTATATTTATCATACTTTTCATTTAAATGTAGGTGAAGACAAAGTATTTTGGAGATACATCTTGCGTGGAAAATATTTCAAACTTTTTTTTTTTAAATAATACACTATATAAGACTTTCCAGGAATAATAGAAATTATTTTATTACTTTATACATGTTTGGTCCAAATTTCTTGTATATTGAATTTATTTTAAAAACCCAAACTAACAATTGGTGAAAAATAAGGTTTCACAGAGTGATTTTTATCTACTACCTCCTTAACTTTATGAAAATTAAATTGTTTACACAGCAATATTGTTAATATGGTTTATTTAATCTTTTAGAAAGGACAACTGGGCAGACCAATTTTGGATGTGCCATATTGGAATGCAAAGCCAGCTCCCATGCCTAACATTGGATCAAAATATGGAAGAAAAGCTACTTGGATAGGTGCAAGTGGGGACCAGACTTTTTTGCGAATTGATGAAGCACTTATTAATTCTCATGTACTTGCTACATCAGAAATTTTTGCCAGTAAACACATAATAGGTAATACCAAAAATAAACAACTGCCCCTTCCAAACTCGTCTTGATTGATAGTAAACGGTTTATTTTTCCCTATAATGAAATATACTTTTATAGCTTTTTGTTTTCTTTCTGGTCAAAGAAATTTAAATAAAGCCTGTAAATGTCTGTGTTTATATGTGTCTGTGTGCTGAAAGAATGGAATAATTGGGAGATCTGGAAACCACAGTATTCGTGAGCTAGACAGTGGTAGAACTATAAACTAAATTCTAGTAGGAGAAAATCCATATTGGAGTAAGAGATTTTTATGTATTGTTTCTTGCTAAATAAATGTTAGAAATTAATTTTTATGGGAGGTTATATAAATCAAACTTTGAAGTTTCACGAAGACCAACGTATCAATCTATACTGTGTCCATGATACTGTGAATAATTATATAATAGAGTCGTATAGCAAGAGATTAGGAGCATGTGTTGTGGATTTAGACATGTTGAGGTTTTACTCCTAATTCTCCCACTTAAAGATTTTTTATCGTTCTCCGCTTATTCATCTGAGAATGAAGATGATATTACTTACTTTATGGGTTTTGGGGAATTAAAAAAGGTAATATATATTAAAATTATATATAAGTGTTTTTTTCTTAAGGCTTGGTACCTGCTTCTATATCAGAACCCCCTCCATTTAAATGCCTTCTGATAAATAAAGTGGATGGGAGTTGTAAAACTTTTAATGACTCAGAACAAGAGGATCTGCAAGGATTTGGTGTGTGTCTTGATCCTGTATATGATGTAATTTGGAGGTAAGCATCTCAGTTTATAAAACAGTAGTAAATAAGTTTTGATGCTGTTATACTCTTATGGTAATATAAACTATATTTACAGGTGGACTTTTCACACATGAGTACCCTCCTGTTTATTTAATAACTGCAGTTCTGTCTCAGTGATTCACAGGGACCTTTATAGTATAGCATAGTGGCTAAGAGCATGCATTTTGAGCAACACTACCTAGGTTTATCCGAGCTCCACAACTTGCTTTTTGTGTCACCCTGGAGAAATTACTTTGACTGTGTGCCTCAGTTTTCTCATTTACGACATGGGGATGCTAGTACTGCACAGTGCATAGTAGGTGCCATAGAAGTGTTTGCTATTATCATTATAATTATTAATTTTACTGTTGAGAGTTCTGTTGTTATTTTTAGTCTGTCATCAATCCTGTTTATATTGTATATAATTCATTCTATTTTTTGTTCTCATAATTATTACTATGAGGAGGAAATTATGCTAAAGACAATAAAGAACAAAGAAGATAATTGAGCTTGCCCTTTAGAAATGTGCATTAAAAAATACTCTTATTGGTAGAGAAATATACAGGATTATATGCACTCTGGGAATTATTAAAATGTAGAGATAAATAGGGCACAAAAGAGACTCAAGAATTGCATGTGTTTAAAATTTATTGTGGTGCTTTATATACAAAATGAATAAGTAAGTTACCCTTCTTCGGGTTTCTAGCTTTGGATACTAATAGGAGGTGTACCCTGCCATCACCACAGTGTCTCATCACAGGGCTGAGTACTTCTTTCCTTTTGCGGCTGGCCTTAGTGGGCAAGATTCCAGTAAGTTGAAAGGTTGAAGTGGTGTGAGTGAGGAGAGTGAGGAAACTTTTTCACTGTCTTCCTTCTTCTACCCATGCCTGCTTGCATTCTCATCAGACAGCCAAGTTCTGAGAGGCTACGTGGTAGCAATGGGATAGACTATCTCAAATGCCTTGCCAACTCCTTGGTAATTTTCTTCCTTGTTCCAAAATAGAGATTAATCATGAGGCTTGCATTCAGAGTGAAGAGACTGCTGCACTTCCCAGGTTGCTGGCCAGCTTACTCTCTTATTTGGGCATTTTATGAGAAGGCATAGTGGCCAGTATTGAGTTGAGTACATCTCAAATCAATTACATCTCCCTGGCAGCATCGTGCAGGGTAGATGAAATAACAAGAGACTATGGGTGAGTGGTCTTTTGTGATCATTCTTAGGCAGACATAAGGTATTAAGAACCAAAGTTAGAGTGGTCACAGTGGGATAGAATGGAGGGGATAGAGAGGAGAATAGATGTAAAGATAGAATTGGCTGCAGTTACTTACTGATTAGAAGTCAGTGTTCAAGAGACTTAGTTACCAAAGAGCAGGCTCTGGTTTGGACTTAGGTATAAATTGATGTTTTATTGTTTTGTAGTTTTTACATGTTTTATTTTTAAAAGAATTAAATTTGCATTAACAAAACAAAAATAAAAATTGACAGTATGGAATCTGTTTCTGGATGCGTTCACTAAGTTAGCAATAACAGTATAACTAAGTCTAATGGCAAAAACTTACTTGAAAGAGAACCATTTCCCTGGGGTCTTAACAGAACTCTGAAGTATGATATTTAGCTGGTCAAATCTTGTCTTTTTCACTTATGGTGGTAGCAGTGGGACAGATGATCTCAGATGCCTTGCCAGCTCCTTGATCAATTTCTCCATTGCTGGAAAACAAAGATTAAGAGATGTTTTGGTGAAACAGCTGAGAGGTATTTTTCTTTAAATCAGGATCAGAATTTCTGTTATGCTGACTTCTGGCTGGTTTGTGTCTTTTGTGTTTTTCGGTGGGACACTTATACTTTACAATTATCGTATGCATTGCACATCCAATATTAGCTTACTTTGACTTTCCTTCTGGCCTGCATCTGCTTCCTTTTATATTCTTCAGGAGCAAACTTTGCCTGAGTAATTTGAAACATCTATAAAGAGCAGATAAATGTTAAGAACACCTATTTTATTTCCCACATACAAATTTACACAAATAATATGTGAATTTGTGTTATTTAAAAAAAAAAAAAAAAAAAAAAGCAAAGCAAAAATACATACAGGAAAAAGGACGGTCATACTCTATATCTGTTTCTTTTCCAATACCAAATCCCACTAGCCTTCTCTGTGGATCACAAGTATGAAGTTTGATTTAAATTGTCTGACACCTTTTAAAATGCATGTATTTTTCTTTTTATGTAAATAAAGACATTCCTACTCTAAAAGTTAGATTTTTGCTCAAAAATAATTTAGAGATCTTTCCAAGTCAGTATTTAAAGAACAGCTTCATTATTAAAATTGTGGAATTCTATAGTCTGGATATACCAAGTATACTTAACTGTTTGCCCATCAGTGAACATTTTAGATTTTTTTAATATTACAGTATTACCTACAGTGCTACAGTGAACAAATACACAGGTATCTACATACAGAATTTTATACACATGTGGGAGTATTTCCGTAAGCTAGTTTTTACAATGTAGAATTGCTGAGTTAAAAGATAGGCTCACAGAATTGTAAAATGACTGAAGTAAGTCTCAATCACTTTAGAAGCTTATATTGCCAAGGTTGAGAAGATGCCTGGGAAGAAAAGACAAGCCACAGACAATGTGTGCCCTGTACTTTTTCTGAAGAGGTTTGAGGGCTTCAGCATTTAAAGAGGAAAAGCGAGCAGGAGGAGAAAGGGAAAAGAAAAAATTAGAGGATGTGGTCACATTCTTGTAAGGTTTTGATTAGGCTTACTGAATCCACATGTTGCACATGAAAAGGAAGGGGTAGAGGAAACAGTGAATTTTGTATTTGGAGTTAAAGTAAACACAGAGTAGAGGAAGTAGTCAAATATGCATTCATCTGGAGCGGGTGGGGCTTGGTGGGGGGTGCAGATAATTTCTAGTCTCTTCTTGTCCCTTACCATGAATTTTCCAGAACCAAAAAGAGATTTGAATCCACGGATATTAGCAACTATATGTTTCCATTATTTACCATCAAGAGAGTTAATGAAACTGTTGAACACTGAAGACCGAGGGAAAATCTTAGAAGCAACTAGAGAGAAAAGAATGATCACCTGAACAATGAGATCAAGACTTCCCAAAAGCAATAATGCAATAATGTTAATGCTACTAATTATAGAAGCTACCATGATATAATTTATTTTCCTCCAAAGGCTTTTGAAAAATAATTAAAAAATTTTTTAATTGTGGTAAAAATACAATGTAAAATTTACCATCTTAATCATTTTGAAAGTCTGCAGTCAGTAGTGTTTAGTGTATTTATGTTATTGTGAAATAGATCATCAGAACTTTTTTTTCTCGGAAAACTGAGACTCTAGATTTATTAAACAACAGCTTGCATCCCTCACTTCCCCACCCCTAAAAGAGGTCGGGAAGTGGAGATAGCTTTTTGAAGTTTTTGTTACAAAAGAGATAAGAGAAATGGGATGATGAAGATATTGTGGGTTCCTAATAGTTTTTTATTGGTTTTTACTGTTTGTTCATATGGTTGAACATCCACATCCATTCTATCTGTGCTTCCTTTCTGTGGATAGCATTCCATGTCCTTGCCCATTTTTGCTATGGATTGATTGTTTCTAGCTCTTATACGTTGAGGATATTGTAGCTTTGTCTCACATGTACACTTCACATTTTTCTTCAACTTGTCCTTTGTCTTTAAACTGTTTTAATGGGGTATTTGTTGAGTTTCATATTTATATGTATGTATCAAAACTTTAAGTATACAGTCAGTTGCTGTATTTTTAAAGTATTATAATCTACATTACTGTTTTCAAATTATTTCATCTTTAGTGATGTAGTTTTTTTATATGTTTAGCTTAGATCCAGAAGATAATGAGCTGTATTTGTCCTCTTTGAGCTGACTGTATTATTTATTCTCTTTGTATCATCAGTTATGTTTTAGGAATTTTTTTTAAAACAAAACCAGGTGTTGTAATTATTCTTTTTCTTTAAAGGTTTCGACCAAATACTAGAGAGCTGTGGTGTTACAATGCAGTGGTTGCTGATGCCAGGCTTCCCTCTGCAGCAGACATGCAGTCCAGATGTAGTATTCTAAGTCCTGAACTTGCCTTGCCAACAGGATCAAGGGCCCTCACTACCCGATCTCATGCAGCTTTGCACATTTTAGGTAGGGTTGCCATTTGATGTACCATTAATTCACATAAATGTGTGCTATCCAGGGTTTTTTTTAGAGTATTTAAATTTATATATAATTCTGTCTTGTTTGTTAAATAATAATAATATACAAAATAAGTTAAATCCTCTAAGAGGCTAATTCCACAGAAAACAATACCTGAGACCTGTACTAACACCATCAAAGATTTATGTATGCGCATTTGTTTAATTTTCCCAGAGGTAGACCCTTAAAAATAATGTTTTTGCTCAACTTGAATGTATAAACTTTTAAAGATATGATAAAATGTTTTTGCAGCATACTTATTTTGTAGCTGGAAACTTTATATCACTCTACATAACTATGTGTTTTGTTGCTTTTAAAAATGATCCTTAAAAAGACTCATTTTAAGACTCTAGCACTTGCAGTTGTGAAATCATATTCCTAAATATAATTACTAGATCATAAATATAACTCTTTGTTTCTTTTTTCTCAAATTTCATTTTGGTTTCCGTTGTAGACACCCAAAACTAGCATTGATTAAGGTTCTGTGACACTAATGTGTCTTCCTCAAGTAATACTTTAAGAATCAAACTAATTTGGAAAGTTTCATAAAAGGAAGAACCTTGTAAGATTTCAAAGGTTAAGTGATTTCAACTTTTCAGAGATCCAGTTTTCTGTAAAAGGTTATCATATGGCATGTTTAAATATGATCATTAATCAGACAAGGGAGAATTTGTATTGGTTTTAAGCATTCTTCCATTAAATGAAGAAAATTATTTATTTTAATTTATCCCCTATAGCATTTAATGTCATCAATACCATAGGACATTTTGATTTCAAGGAATTAAATTTTGTTTATTTATTTTTAGGTTGTCTTGATACCTTGGCAGCTATGCAGGACTTAAAAATGGGTGTTGCAAGTACAGAGGAAGAGACTCAAGCAGTAATGAAGGTTTATTCTAAAGAAGATTATAGTGTGGTAAACAGGTTTGAAAGTATGTATACTTAGGTTTAGGAAATATTGTCTTACAGCTGAAATATATATGGATCTTTTAAAACAGATTATGATTTATATATTCTAGGTCATGGAGGAGGCTGGGGTTATTCTGCTCATTCAGTGGAAGCTATACGTTTCAGTGCCGACACTGATATTTTACTTGGTGGTCTTGGTCTGTTTGGAGGTAGAGGAGAATATACTGCTAAAATTAAGGTAAAGTTCATCAACAGTGTTGCCCTTTTTTGTTTGAAGATACTGATTTGTACTTAATTTATTATTTTATTATTTAATGTCTCTTTTTTTCCTTTTTAACTTGGTTTATTTTGTTGCTTTTAATGCTTCTTTTTTAAAAGGGATAGAGAAAACATTGCTAAAATCAAATACAGTAATACTACATTAGTAATTCATTAAAAATCAAAATTCTGTAAGAAGGGAAGAAATGAAAAGAAAATTATTTTTCAACAATTTACTACTGAAAAAAGGCTATATCTCAGTCCTTTGTATGGAACTTCTGCTGGCCTAGCAATACCAGCGCCTGTTTATGTGGCTACTTTCTTATAGCCATTTTAATGACAGAGGAGGCACAACTGTTTAGGGACATTTTGATGTAGCTAAAAAGTTGTGAGCATTTTTAATGCCAAATACTATGTAAACAGACATCTTCACCCCAGGAGTGGAGACCAGGTATGAGTGAGCGATAGTGTTAGGGGAGGATTCCATCTGATAGGCAAACTAAAAATCATCGAGAGTCATATGTTCACTACACCTGTTCGTGTCCAAAAGGGCCAACAATCATCCTAAACAAAGTATATGTTCATTCTTTGAATATCCACTAATAGCTTGAAGGTTCTGCTTCTCAAATTACCTGATTTTGTCCTAAAAGTGAAAGAAAAAACTAGTTTCTGCCTGGATTTCAATAGCAGGCTTCATAAAAAAATCTCAATTAAATGTCATCTGTTCAGGAGGTATTTTCTTAGTTCTCTCAATAATATCTAAAAATGATACCAATATGTTAACACTCTTCTTCATAATGATGGTTTCCATGGACATTCCCCATGGAGGCTCAACTAGAACTGACAAACTTAAAGAAATATTTGCTTATTTCTGGTTATAGTTGGAATACATACGCTAAAAAAGCAGATAATGTAAGAATGAATAAAGTAAAAATTTAAAGCTCCTGTAGGTATATGGAGTATAGCGATAGAATAATGATTAAGAACGCTTGTAGCACATGTATTTTGATAATAAGAAAAACAGTAGTTTGGCGCTTTTCAGTGCGACTGCTTTAAGGTGGTTATTTTAGGATGTCTGGATTCATCCTCACGTTAGAGAAGCAACCTCAATGTGTTATGTCATTCTACTTGACAACGTCTAATAAGCTCATCAGGAGGATGTATTTTTTCTAGCTCTAAGAGATTTTTTATTTTCGCAATAGTGAACAACATAGTGGACCTTATCTTCAAACACTGTGGTATGTAGAATTATAGAGGCCTTCCATATATGTTGTTTTTATATTGGCCTTATTTTTCTTTTTCAAACTCAAATTCTACCTCACTCCTCCTGTCCTCTGGAAATGATCTTGCCTTTTGTATTCAATTATCCAGTGAGTGGACTAAGGCCTTTCAACAGTAGTCAGTCTTTTTTCCCCCTCCCTTTACCTCTCTGTAATGTATACATTTGTTAAGCCCTTCTTTATTTTTTTGTTTTGTTTTCATACCTCTAGTTGTTTCTTCTATCTCTTTGTAGGTTCATTCCCTTCCACCTGGCCACTGAATGTAGGAGTTCCTCAAAGACCTAGCCCTAAGCTCTTCACATATTCTCATATGTATTCTCTTTTAAGCCCAAAGTTTTAATAGGCATCAGCATACCATAATCCCCAGATTTGTATCTCCAATTCAGACTTCTTTGATGCATTTTCATGTAAATATGTTAAAGGCACATCAGTTATCAGTCATAATATCTCAACTGAATTCATGCTCTTCCACTGATCTCTCTCTCTCTCATGATTAGTACCATCCTCCGTATGCTTGATACATAGGCCAGAAACCTTGACATTTTTCTTGATAGGCCTCCTATATCTCTGTCTTACCCACAAAAAAAAAAACACTTCTACCACTACCCTAGGCAAAGCTGTTTGTCTTGGACTATCCCCCTAGCTAGTCTCTGTACATATTCTTTCTATACTTTCTGTCTCCATTCTCTCTCTCACCATTCCTACTTGAACCTACTCCAGTCAGATTTTTGCCCCCACCACTGACATTGCTGTTGTCAAGGACACTGATGACTTTCATATTGCTAAATTCGGTAGTCAAGCCTCAGCTCTCATCTTCCTAAACCAGTCAGCTGAATTTAACCCAATTGAGCTCTTCTTTGAAATACTTTCTTCCCTTGTCCCCAGGACACCACACTTCATTTTCCTTTTGTCCCACTGACTGCTTTTCTTAGTCTCCTGCTGGTTGCTCATCATCGTCCTGACCTGTAAATGTTGGAGTGCCAAGAACTCAGTTTTTGACATCTTTTAAAAATATTCTCTTCCTCATAGTGGTCTAGCGTCATGGACATTTATCTCTGATGACTTTTAAACTTACAGACCTCTTCTCTGACCTTTAAACCAATATGTACAACAGCCTATGCTGTGTCTCCACGTGACTGTCTGATAGGCATTTTGGAGGTAACGTATTCAGTACTGTGCTTCTGATGATCTGCCTAAACCTGCTATCCTCATGTTCTTCCCCATCCCAGGTAACTGACTCAGCATGGAGTTAACTTCATTCTTCTGTTTCCTCAGGCCAGAAATCTTGGAGTCATCCTTGATTCCACTCTTTCTTTTACACACATCTCCTTGGCAGCAAATATTGTCAGTTCCACTTTCAAAATAAATCCAGAATCTAACCACTTCTGAAAACTGCCACTGGTATCAGGTTGGGTCATGCCACAGCTGTTCTCATCTGAATTATTACAACAGCCTCCCAGCTTGTGTTCTGTGTCTGTCCTCACCCCATTTATTCCGTTCTCAGTATGGCAGAGTGATTCTCTTAAAATGTACAACAGATTGCGTCATTGTCTCTTCAGAATCCTGTAGTGTCTTCCTATGTTAAAATGAGAACCAAAGGCCTTAGAAGGACCTACAAAGTCCCCATCAGAACTGGCTGTCATCACCTCTCTGACCTTTTGTTCCACTAGTTGTTTCACTCTAATCTGGTGACACCTGCCTGCTTATTGTTCCTCAGACATTCCAGGCACAGTCAAATCTCAGTACCTCTTCACTTGCTGTTTCCTCTTAACTACAGCTCTCTTCACTTCAGCACCTACATAGCCCACTTCCCCATCACCTTCAGAGCTTCATTCCCTGATAAGCCTATTTAAAACTAAATTCAATTACCAACCATAGACTTACTCCCAATAGCCCCCAATTCTTTGTTCGTATTGTTTGCCCCTTTATGCCCAATTTCCAGAACTGTGCTTGGCATACAGTATGTGTTCAAAAATATTTGTTGAATGTAAATACAGGAGTCGGGTTAGGGATAAATTATTAAGAACCTTCATATCATGCTGTGGAGGAGATGAGAAACCAAGGAATAATTTTTAGATTAAGAAAGTATTCTGATAAGATATTTTTATAAGGGTACTAAGGGTCATGAAACAATTGCAAAAATCCTCAACTTTGTGGAAAATGGGTTAGAAGAAGGAAAGAATGGAGATAAGACTAAATAGTTGTTGAAATATTCCAGCCAGCAATAGGGGATATGGTTGAATTGACAAGCTTTGGTACCAGTAAGAGAATAGAAACAGTAATGGCAGAGAAATGAAAAAGGATTATTTCAGACTATTTTGTTTTAAGACAGAATCTCTTTGGTAGCCCACACTGGAGTGCAGTGATGCCATCTTGGCTCACTGCATGCAGCCTCTGCCTCCTGGGTTCAAGCAATTCTCCTGCCTCAGCTTCCAGAGTAGCTGGGACTACAGGCATGTGCCACCACACCCAGCTAATTTGTGTATTTTTAGTAGAGATGGGGTTTCACCATGTTGACCAGGCTGGTGTCAAACTCGTGACCTCATATGATCTGGCTGCCTCAGCCTCCCAAAGTGCTGGGATTACAGGCGTGAGCCACCAGGTCTGGCCTATTTCAGACTTTTTATCTGAGAGACTAGGTGAATGAAAGTACCATTAAGCAGAACAGAGAAGGCAGGAGGAAGGTATAGAACTAGTAGGATGAGGGGAATCCAATGACTGTTGAGAGTAAGAGCTGAGCTGGAGAAAGATTTCTAAGTCATTAGCATATAATTTTGCATTTTAATCTTTATCTGCCTCTCTTGCAATTAACTTGCCATAATTATCGAGAGGAAAGGCCTCTTCCTCATAATTCTTATTTTCACTTAATTTCATAACCTTTTTCTATTGGATATTTTTTCTGTTTTTTTTTTTCTTACCCAGAGGATCTTCCCCTCTTTTTTAAGAGTCATTTTTTTCATGCTTTTTATCTTTATCTTTTTCTCATGCCATATTACTTCAAACTATATTTTGTTACCTATTGTTTTTAAGGATTCTTGCATTGCTCTTCTTTCTGTGTAGCTAATATTTTTCTACTCTTTTTTATTTATTTATTTTTTTAAGAATTCTACAGTATTCACTGAATTTTTAAAAGTACTGTGAGATGGGAACTGTTAGTATCCACCCACCTTTTATGGATGAGGAAACTAGGTCCCAGGATCTCACAGTTAGTAAGTGATGAAGCTACCTCATTCTAAATGAGGTAGAATCTCACTTAGTGAGAAACTCACTTAGCTAAAATTTTTTGGTTGAGTACTCTCACCTTTTTCATATGCTTATGTCATGTACAAAACTTGTATAGAACTATTTAGAGCATTTGATATAAATAAATATATAAATTAGGAAAACAGAGATTAATGTAGGCCATAAAACCTTGTTTCTTATTTTAAATACATATATTTGTGTATTTCACATAATAATGTTAAAAAGCAGGTACTCTGATTTTTACATTTGGTATGGTCCAGCATACATTGATCATGCACAAAATTATGAACACATTGTTCATCAGATTTGTATAGCTGGTTTATATAAATGATTATCTTTCTCCTTTCCTTAGCTGTTTGAATTGGGTCCTGATGGAGGAGACCATGAAACTGATGGTGACCTTCTTGCAGAGACTGATGTATTGGCTTATGACTGTGCTGCTAGGTAAATAATTTGTGCATTATTCATTGTAACTCTTGCATACTTAATATTAAAAATTTATTATAAATGAATAAACATACTTTAAAAGGAAGTTTTAAATCTGCTATGAATATCAAATGCTTGAGAAATTAAATTATATATTAAGCAATGTAAGTATTGCTTTCAAAAATGCTGAATTAAAACTAATAATACACTTCATAAATTTATTTCACAAGTTAATTCAATTGTTTCAATATTGAAGGTAAAAATAGAAATATGCATATATTTTACACACCTTTATTTTCATGCATCTCTTACGGAATACCTAGTATGTTAGTGTTCTAGTAATAATACAGTTATTTATTATTCCTAGCATTACAGGCAATAAGTAATTAGTGTCAAGTGGTCATATTTGGCCATAATTCAGATTACCCATGTACTCTGACATCATGCTGGTAGAATATACTTGATAATAACACACTTGGGGAGGTGAGCAGCTTTACTGAAAGCTTTTGGGAGTTTATAAAAATTAGTATGTTTATTTATGAAGCTTCATTAAGTAGGAGGATACTTACACTTTATCAGTCCTTTGTATGTAATCCTAAGAATTATCTCAACATTGTGTTATGATCAGTATTCCCTGTTTTGAAGCAAGGAATATTATGATAAGAAAAATTATAAACTGAGCTTCATAGTAGTAATAGTGTGCTATGTTTCCCAACAATAACTATGTTAAAACCTTGTAGGTTTTTTTGGTAGTGAAAATGTATATTTTCAGAAACAAGAATGATCGTAAGATACTGACTTTGCTTATACAAGATAGAAATACTTTTGAAAATGAAAGAGTAAATCTAAAGAAAATTTTGACTGTTTCTTAGGCATTAACTAATATCGCAAGTTTTTTTTAGTAACCTTTAGTGTTTTATACAAATGAATATTAGGGAAAAATCTAAGAAAGCTAATTGATTAATTTTCAGCAAAGCCTTAAGGTGCCATTGTCATTTGCTGTATTTATTTATTTATTTATTTTTATTTTTGAGACAGAGTCTCACTCCGTGGCCTAGGCTGGAGTACAGTGGTGTGATCTCAGCTCACTGCAACCTCTGCCTTCCAGGTTGAAGCGATTCTCATGCCTCAGCCTCCTGAGTAGCTGGGACTACAGGTGCATGCCACCAAGCCCGGCTAATGTTTGTATTTTTAGTAGAGATGTGGCTTCACCATGTTGGCCAGGCTGGCCTCGAACTCCTGACCTCAAGTGATCCTCCTGCCTCGGCCTCCCAAAGTGCTGGGATTACAGGAATGAGCCACTGTGTCTGGCTACCATTTGTTTTTGACCATATGAGTTTGAGTCGAAAATATAAAACACAGTTTCATTTATAGAGAATCATCTAGGATTTCTTCATTAGCTCGTGTACAAAGCCCAGACTCCTAAGGCATTGGGAGCATTAAAGGATTTCCATAACATCCAGCATCTTTTTTGACTTTCTACTGCTACTCTTCTGTAGCTGTCTTAATGCATTAATGAAATTGATAATGAACACCTTGCCATTTCCTGACCTCTTTTGTACTTCCATACCTCTACATATTTTTTCATGACATTCTCCTGTTTCTTTAAATGCCCTTTATTTCTTCTTTCAATTCCAGCTACAACCAATAAACATTACTTCCACTCTGTTACCTAGTACTTTTTAACTTGTTTATAGCCTTTAGAAGATGCCCTTATTTATTGTCTTTTTTTCTTCTTCTAAATTAATAATGTTTGTATAGATATTATGTGACAGACTGCAAACACCCATCTGACTTAATTCAATCTTCAGGACAACCCTATGAGCTAGATATTATTTTCACCCCAGTTTTCAGGTGAAGAAGCTAAGGTACTGAGAGGATAGAGTAACTTGCCCTGTGTTGCCCTGCTAGCAGGTCACAGAGCTGGGCCTTGAACCCAGACCACCTGACTCCAGGGCCATTTTCTTAATATTCTGCCTCTCAAAACTATTTAACTGAATGAATGAGCTTTAAAACTAAAGTTCAGATTTTTATTTTCCAGCAAAATTTGCATGTTTTTTAACATCAGTTTAAAACATTCTATCTTATTTTAATATGAAAGTTTTATAACATTTAAGGATATTGTAGAATTCAACAAGAGGAGGAAGAAATGTAATTCTATCACCATAACACAAATTACTATACTTGGCTTGTGTTCTCGTCCACACTTCTTAGAGTGTTTTTAATGTTGTTTGATAAGAATTTTGTAATACAGTTAGTTTCATGTTTTTCTTCATAAGGGATTTTGAAAAAATAAATATATGTGACAGAGAAGTAAAAAAATACTGTCTTTGACTCACTAATTTTTTATCAGAGAAAAATACGCAATGATGTTTGATGAGCCTGTTCTCCTGCAAGCTGGGTGGTGGTACGTAGCATGGGCCCGAGTGTCAGGACCCAGCAGTGACTGTGGATCTCATGGACAGGCGTCTATTACCACAGATGATGGGTAAGTAAATGCCCAAGTGTTACTTGAGCAATTCTTATTTTTGTTAGAGGAATATTGTTTTGAAACCTCAGAGGACTTTCAGCAGGATTCAAAAGCTTAGGAAGACTAGAGCATGATATAACTGTTAAAAATTAAATTCATGTAACCTCATGCCAAATTAAGGTCTAGACAGAACAAGGAAAGAATAAGACCACTGTACTTTGCTCCTGTCAGATAGTATTTGCATATATTTCTGGTTATTACATAGTTTATGAGCTTGATTACCAAATTAGCAATTATATAGAGGAAGGTGACAAGGATAATGAGTAGTTTGGAACCGTAAAAAAGAAGTAGATATGTGATATTAAATTTGATAATGCATGAGAAAGCAGTTTAAAATTTCAAAGCTTCAGCAATGTGTGTTATTTTAATAAAATATAGGGAAATTTTGCTGTTTTAAAATAACTTTCATGTATAGAGTACTTTTCAGTTTATACTTTCTTATGTTTTATCTGATTTGATGCCCTCAATAGCTTTGTGAAGCAGTTATTGGCCCCATTTTATACTCCAGGGACTACAGAAATAAAAAAGGTGAAATTACTTGCTATTTCCTGAGAGACTTGTGGTTAAAACCACATTCAGACCTGTAACCTGTTGACTCTAAATCCAACGTTTCAAATATTCTAATACTGTGATTTATGTATTCTAAAGGACTATCATTTGTAAGATAAATTCAGTTTATTCTTGATTACTCATGAGCATAAACTATTTGAAATCGGTTGAAGTTATGTAACAGTATATATTTCAGTGCAGGTCAGTTCATAACAAAACTGACCAAAAAAGAAATAGACTTATTTGTGAGGTGAATTACCTGTTGCTGAATATTTGAGGAGACTACTGTAGAAACATCACATCTGTTGTTGTGTGCATCCCTTCAACTTAAGAACGTATTTAGAACTAAGAGACTACTTTGACTCTGGACTGTATGATTTTCTTAGACTGTTCATTCAGACTTGGAATGTCATGGCACACTGAGGCTAAAGCTTATCATGCAGCTAGTCAAGCAGATATTATACTACTACTTGTAAGCAGAAATTTTAGAAGTTTCCTGCTGTGGTGAAAGCTGAGTTGGAGAGCTAGGAGGGACAGGACAGCTGCTCATTTAGGAGTCCTAAACAGGTTTAGTTCTTTCATTTTACTGACTAACCCATTCAGAGCTAGAATGAAAATCTAGAAAATACCTTTTTGCTTTTCTTTATTTAAAAGAGTGAATCATTTTCATTGACATAAGGTTTGAAAATATGTTTCTTAAATTTCTTATTTCCTGTGATGATCATGTTGTTTTTGGTGTCATTGTTTTCTCTTCTTAGGGTTGTTTTCCAGTTCAAGAGTTCAAAGAAATCAAATAACGGTACAGATGTTAATGCTGGTCAGATACCTCAGTTATTATACAGGTATTTAGCATATTTATACTGAATTAGTATGGTTTATTATTTTGCTATAATGAAGTAGAATCATTACAAAATATGCGGCATAATAGGGAGAAATTATTTGAAGCATTCAGCAATTATAATATGCCAGTAGAACTATAAATATATTTAAGAAAAACAGTTAATATTTTGTATGTTTTAAACATTTTCCACACAGGCTTAATTTTAAACTTTGCCTGATTACTCAGATTATCTGTATTATACCAATAACAATATTTTACTGACTTAAAAAAAAATCTATCCACTGATTTTCTTTAATTTCGAATGTTATAAAAGAATAAAATTTGTCTTAGAGAAGTGAGATTCCAAGGAAGATAGGGAGGACTGCAGATGCAGGCCTGGTTGATGTATTGTAGTCTCATAAGATTGATAAAATGAGTTGGAAAATTCCATAGTGTTGGTAAATTTTCACCTTTAGCTGAAATACCAAATAATAACTTGCTCATATAAAAATATTTACTATATTTTTAACATTATGTAAAAATTTTAACTTACAATAATTTAAACATGTATAAAGGCATATGCCTGTGTGTGTGTCTTATTTATTTCTAGACTACTGCAATACTGTTAGAATAAAGAATTCAAATGGATATAAACCGTCACTAAAAAAATGTTGTCATTTGTTAAGCAGTAAAAAAATCAAAGGAAATGGTCTAGAATAGTGATTCTATCTCCCTGTCTTTCTTTCTAGTAATCACTTAATGAATCTAGATGGTTACAAACCTTATTTTTCCCCAAAAGGGATTTTTGTTTGTTTGGTTTTTATGCAATGTGCAATCTGTTACAGTTACTCTTTGTAATATGTAGCTTTACGAACATAACATGTTGCATTGGACTACTCCTAGGTACTCACTGGTTGAATAACTTTTAAATAACAGCATTAATAGTAGCATTACTAGAGAATACAAGTTATATGTTATATAAGTTATATATGTTCTCTAACAAGTGGAAAAAGCCTCTACTACTCAGTCTTGCAAAGGTAGGATTTAAAGGAAGTGCCCATATGCTAAAAGCCTTGTTTAGCTTGGAAAAATGTTTCAAAAAAGCCCTGTATTGGCATTTTACCTGGCAAAAAAATTTAAATATATAATTTATTTTCCCATTCAAAAATGTATAATATACTTTAAAAGGAAAAAATGACATTGGACTTCCTAACATAATTTTATGTGTGTCTACTACCTTTAGACTTCCAACCAGTGATGGCAGTGCTTCGAAAGGCAAACAGCAAACCAGTGAACCTGTACACATTTTAAAGAGGTCTTTTGCAAGAACTGTCTCAGTGGTAAGCCATTTTTTTTTATTTCAGCTTTTCTCTTCAGTCCTCAGATATATTTTGCTGTTTAGAGTTTAGCTGCTATTCTAAGTTTATCTCAGCCTAGATTTATAAACTCAGATTTGGTTTTGTATTAGCATTTATATTCTAGACCACAGATAATGTATACTTTAAATCATAGAAAAATGGAGGTGTTGCCTGTGATTTTAACATGACTGGATGAATTGGCCTTGCTGTTTTTGAAATAAATAACTGGTTGCTTTTCTAATAAATCATGTATGATTGCATATGCTGAATGAATTAGAAAATGAAGGAAAAGTTGAGGATGGTGCTGACCCAAAAAAGCGTTACTACTACTTGAGGAACTAGGTGGAAGAGTTGCATATCTAGGTAGGATGTTTGTTGAACCACTTGCCATCCCCATTGTACACTTGAAGAAACACAGTGCCATTGAGGTTAACGGTGCAGAATGGAAAGTCAGCATGATGTAAATAAATGGAAGTTTAAATTAAGGTCTAGATCTCTCATGTATTAATTGAGGATTCTTATGTATGTTACCTAAGTAAATTACATCATAGCATTTTGAATTTCTAATGTGGTAAGGGGTATAAGATGTTTTTGGAACTGTAAGATACCATCTGAATGTGATTTATTAATGTAGCTAGTAGTCTTTCATATTAGTAAAATGCATAGGAAGAATGTTTCTTTCCCTTTTAAATTTATTTTTTAACCCACTAAGTGAATATATATTCCTAGTAGGAATGAGATAAAAGTATGCTAAAAGTATATGAAAGTTTTTTCCCCCATTCCCATTATCACCATATATACCTACTATTTACATTTTGGTGTATATCTTCCCAGACCATTTTTATATGCAGACAAACTTATTAGTATGTATCAAATACAGGATGCTCTACAACATGCTTGTTTGTTTCTCATGATATAGTTTTCATCTTTTTTAGAAAATTTCATATTATATATCATGGACATCCTTCCCTGGCAGTACATTTGGCTCTCTCAATCTTTTCCGTTTGCATAGTATCCCGTAGAATTGTATTAGTCTAATTTATTCAGCCTGATTCCTATCAAAGAACCACTTTGATTCTCATTTTTTACTGTTTCATCTTGCTTCATGAGCATCTATTCACATGTATCTTTAAATACTTGTGTGCTTATGTGCATACTTCTACTGGAAATGTGCCCATTTAAATTTTGGTATATCCTCTCAAAGTTGACCTTCCAAAAGAGCCTTGGCAGTTTGTAGAGCTTGTGCCTTGAATAAGAGACTATGAGAACTTTGGCTTCTTGGTAACTTTACATCCTATTAGTATTCAGTTGAGTTTGGTATCTTTTGTTTCAAATAAGGATCTTTGACTCTGTTATGCTTTCTCTAGTGATCTCATTTTCTGTGCTTGGTAACGCCTTTGTATTTATGTCTAAGTGGTTTTGTGGCTACTAGGTAATTGCAGACTTTATATACAAAACTTTTTCAGTCATTTCTTTAAAAGGTAAACTGTAGGGCTGAGCACATAGGCTCACACCTATAATCCCAGCACTTTTGGAGGCCGAGGCAGGAGGATTGCTTGAGCTCAGGAGTTCAAGACTAGCCAGCGCAATATAGCAAAACCCTCATCTACCAAAAACTTAAAAATTAGCTGGGTATGGTGGTGCACACCTGTAGTCCCAGCTGCTTGGGAGGCTGAGGTGGTGGGAGGATAGCTTGAGTCCAGGAGGTTGAGGTTGCAGTGACCCATGATCACACCACTGCATTCCAGCCTGGGTGATAGAGGGAGACTATCTCACAAAAAATAAATAAAATAAAATAAAATTGAATATATAAACTCATTTTCAGGAGGTCTGGGATTTGGTGGGAATGGGGCAATAAGTGCTCTGCTTTGAGATTCAGATAGTATCTGTCATCATGTAACCATGATAAAACCGGAAGACTAGCTAGAACTGCCAAGAAAATCTACCATCTTAAACTCATATGCTAGAATTTTAAATAATCAAAATAGGAATTTTTTAGTATTTTCTAGTCAATTTTTATCTTCTATTAATGTATTTAACAATAGTTGACTATAGTTTGTATTGCAAATTTTAATATGTAGACATAAAATAAGTTATTTGATAGTGTCAATATATCTTAATACTAAAACTCTTTTATTTTTTACTACAGCGACTGTAAAAAGCTTTATTTTTCTTTCAAGTAAACATGCATTGTTTTATAAGTGTTTCTCATTTTTCCCTTGTTTATATGATAAGCTAGATAGCTTGATAGCAGGAAAACTGAAACATTTATTTTTAAATAGGTAAATATTGAAGAATGTTGTTTTTATAAATGCTTAACTACTTTACCTTTTTTGTAACAAAGTTACTGTTAAGGGTAGTTTAGTAAATGAACTGTTGAAGTGTCTTGGGGTCAGTAAAAAAAATTCAAGTAAAAAAGTCAGTAAAAAAATTCAAGAGAAAGTTTTGAAGTTATCTGCCATTGCCTTTCCATTTGCTTCAGTTTCTGGTATCATTTGAATTAATCGTTGTCTGTTTTTTCATATTCTGGATTAGGAATGTTTTGAGTCATTGTTGAGTATTCTTCACTGGAGCTGGACCACCTTAGTCTTAGGAGTTGAAGAACTTCGAGGATTAAAAGGATTCCAGTTCACAGCTACACTTCTAGATTTAGAGAGACTGCGCTTTGTGGGTACCTGTTGTCTGAGGTTGTTGCGTGTCTATACCTGTGAAATTTACCCAGTGTCAGGTATGATGCATTTTTTTAAATGACTGTAGGGAGAAAATATTAGAGACATTGAGAAGATTTACTTTGAGATAACTGAGCATTCATAACCCCCAGCTGCCTTTAAGCTGCTTCTAAAATAAGGGGAGAAAGTCAGCTTGCTCTGATGCTTATGTATTTGCTTATAAATAATAAAATAGATTACGTGTCATTCTGATAACAAAAATAATAGTGGGCCAAAATTAAATAATCTAATAAAGTTTAATTTGAAACAAATTCTGTCAAATAGAAATATTTTGAACAAGCAATTTGGACTTAAATGCTGAAACTAGATTTTTATTCCCCCTCCCATTTAGATTAAAAAAATAATTTGGGACTACACTTAATCTCTAAGTTGTTTTGTTTCTAAGATATGAGTACTTGTGATATTTAGCTGTATAGGGAATTACTGAGTTATATTGATTGTTTTCATGCATATTTAATATTTTGCTGAATTATCAATCTGCTTTTTTTCCCCTCAAAGCTACAGGAAAAGCAGTTGTAGAAGAAACTAGCAAATTAGCAGAGTGTATTGGAAAAACCAGAACTTTGTTAAGAAAAATTTTATCAGAAGGAGTTGATCACTGCATGGTGAAATTGGATAATGATCCTCAAGGATATCTCAGTCAACCCCTGAGTCTCCTAGAAGCTGTCCTTCAGGAGTGTCATAATACTTTCACTGCTTGCTTTCATTCTTTCTACCCAACTCCTGCCTTACAGTGGGCTTGCCTTTGTGATCTGCTGAATTGTTTGGATCAGGTAACTTAAGTTTGTAAAATGTTAGTTGAAAATCTGATATATTGCTTAATTCTCTTCAAGAAAATAAATTGCAGTGCCCTATCTTCTTAACTTGTATAAAAGATAAATTAGGAAATTGTTTGGTGTACATGACTTACATAAGCACAGTTTAAAATGTTTTAAATCTGCTTCATGATCTTTTGATTACAAAATTGGTAGGCACATTGTGCAGTTGCTGATTGGTCTTTGAATTGGAATGAGTGATTCTGAGAGAGGGAGAGAGGAAAAGAACCGTAGTGACCAGGTGAGAGCAGGGATAGCACCAGGAGGCCCCTGCCACCCTTGTCTGTGAGAACAGGAAGAAGAGAGAGCTGCAAGAACAGGTATACTAGCGTTGTTCATTCATTCATGAGGAAGCCACAACCTTTGTAAACCTTTATGCACCAAGTCACAGTGTTTCACAACACCTGAGGTAAAACACTGACAGAACTACAGGGAGAAATAGACTCACATTGACAGCTGGGGACTTTTAACGCTCCTCTTTCAGTAATTAACAGAGGATCTAGGCCAAAAAATTCAGCGATACAGATTTGAACAGTATTGTCAGCCACCTTGATCTAACTGACATTTATCAAACAGGACATGAAACTACAAAATACATATTCAAGTACACATGATTTTTAAAAGAAATGTTTGGGACCGTTCACCAAGGTAGATCATATGCTAGACCATAAAATAAGTCTTAATAAATTTCAAAAGATTAAAATGTGAAAGAATATATTTTCAGACTACAATAGAGTTAAAGTAAAAATCCATAGCAAAAGATATCAAGAAAAGCACCAAACATTTGGAAAATGATAGCACTTCTAAGTAAGCAGTTGATTGAAGAAGTTATAAAGGAAATTTTAAAATGTTTCACATAGATAAAAATATGATATTAGAATTTGTGGGATTTAGCTAAAGCATTGCTTCAAAGAGACCTTTATACCCTTAAATGCTTATATGAAGAAGACAGGTTTAAAATTGGTGACCTAAGCTTCTATGTTAAGAATCTAGAAGGCAAAGCAAATCTAACCCAAAGTTAGAAGAAGGAAGGAAATAATAAAGATAAGAGCAGAAATCAATGAAATAGAAAGTAGAGAAAATTAACAAAGCTAAAAGTTGGTTTTTTGAAGAAAAAAAAATTGGTAATCTCCTAGCAAACCTGATTGGGAGAGAAGAGAGAAAGAAAAAACATGAAATACCATAATCAGAAATGAAATAGGGGTTCACCAGGCATGGTGGCTCATGCCTGTGATCCCAGCACTTTGGGAGGCGGAGGTGGGTGGATCACTTGAGGTCAGGAGTTTGAGACCAGCCTGAGCAACATGGCAAAACCCTATCTCTACCAAAAATACAAAAATTAGCCAGGCATGGTGGCACACAGCTGTAATCTCAGCTACTCGGGAAGCTGAGGCACGAGAATCGCTTGAAGGCGGGAGATGAAAGTTACATTGAGGCAAGATTGTGCTACTGCACTCCAGCCTGGGTGACAGAGTGATACTCCATCTCAAAAAAAAAAAAAACAAAAAACCAAAGAAAGAAAGAAATAGGGAATATCACTATAAACAACTTTATACTGGTGAATTTTTCAGCCTTAGAGGAAGTTGACAAATTCCTTGAAAAATATAATTTTATCAAAACTAACACATTAAGAAATAGAAAAATCTGATTTGCCTCATATCCATTTAAAACTTAGCAAATACTTCCCTACAAAGAAAATTTCAAGTCCAAGTATTGTCATTTATGAATTCTGTTAAACATTAAAGAAAGAAATAATGTCAACCTTTTACAAACTCTTTTGGAAAATATAGGAGGCAATACTTCCCAACTAATTTTATGAGTTTAACTTTATCCTATACCAAAACCTAACTAAGATACTACAAGAAAAAATTACAGATGAATATCACTCAGAAATAGATGCTCTTTAAATATTATCAAACCAAATTGAGCATGTAAATAATATATCATGACCAAGTGGGATTTATCTTAGAAATGCTAAGTTAGTTAAATAATTGAAAATCGATGTAATTTACCATGTTAACTGAAAAAAAGAAGGCAAGTTGATGATTTCCTCAATAGCTACAGGAACAATGGTTGATGAAACTAGCAGTTATTCGATGATGAAAACCTCTGAGGATATAAGGAAACTCCTAAATCTGATAAAGCGATATTTACCATAAAATCTACGCTAACAACATCCCACTTACTGGTGAATTCTGAATATGCCCCTAAGTTTGGAAACAAGACATGTGGTATCTACACTCACCACTTCTATTCAACAGTGCACTGGAAGTCCTAGACCTCCCCACCCTTCTTCGTGAAAAATTCATTGTCATCACTTGTAACTCTGCGTCCATTTAGCAGGGTAGTATATTTTAGCACTCAATTTCCAGGGCCAAGATTATTGCCTGGACTAGTGCACAACTTAATTATCTCTCACTCTGAACCTTCCCAGTCAGATACGGTTCTTTTCTTCTTTGCTACAGAACAGGCTAGGTTTAGCAAATGTTGGTTTAACATATGGAATGTTACTCTGCTTTTATGCTTAACTTTGTAACACAGATGTTTGAAGATCTAGGTAATGTGTACGCAGTTTTGTGAATTAGGGTATCCTATGTTGGTTTTAATGCTTTGTTATAAAATTTTATAAGTATGCTACTAATTTTTCTTGATAAACTGTGAAATGTGATAATGTAATTTTGTGACCTCAGTGAAATGTGGTTATAGTAGCACAGATTTATAATTTGCATCATTTATTATTTGAGAAAAATAGTCTCAGTCTGTACTGAAAATGACTTATATATATTCTAATTGGGGCCTTTTTGGCATCTCCATTTGAAATAGTGCTAGGGAGTACTGTGATTGTGAGGATATGAAAATATAAAAATGCTCACTTACTAGAGGACAGGAGGCTGATTTTTCTTGACCAGACTTAATTTTTCATCTTCATTGAACAGTAACTTAAACAGTTGTTTTTTTAATATATTGATGTAGTATTATTCTATAACAAGACAATTTAAGTGACCGAATGACAGAAAATTTTGATATAATTTAAAAGATGGTTTACCTTTTATATATCCAGAAACGTAGATTACACTGATGCTATCTTTTTTGGTGGTGATGGGGCGTATATTTTTGTTTTTAAAAGGATATCCAAGAAGCAAACTTCAAGACATCAAGTAGCCGACTCCTAGCAGCTGTTATGTCAGCTCTGTGTCACACATCTGTTAAGCTGACTTCCATCTTCCCGATTGCGTATGATGGAGAAGTATTACTACGATCAATTGTTAAACAAGTTAGCACAGAGAATGACTCAACACTAGTTCATCGTTTTCCCCTTTTGGTGGCACATATGGAAAAACTCAGCCAGGTAGGTCTTTCTCTGAAATCTCTTTTATACTGAGGCAATAAAACTGTAAATGGAAGTGTGTTTAGCTTTTTGCTTGTTCTTCTCCATTAAGTATATTTACAAAATGATTATTTAATGAATGACATCTGTTTTTGAAATAATATTTTTAAAAAATTTCTATGTTTACCTATAAAATGAAGTTTTTTTGCTCTAATGGTTTAAATAATCACTCACCTTTAAAAAAATTTGAGAGTTATACAGTAGATACCTACATATTGGTTTTTCCTAAACCATTTGAAGGTAAGTTGCAGATACTTTACATTCTAATATAATATTTTAGATTTCTAAGATAGAATGATAAGAAAATAAAGGATTTTTAAAATACCTTCTTAATAACACTTTGGTATATTAAAATAAGCACTGTAAATAATAGGTATAGGAAATATTCAGATAAATCATTTTCATGCTGGAAATCAGCTACGTTAATAATCTTTTCCCTTTTTTTCTGAAAAATAAAGTATTTTTCCTTTATTGAGACCCTATGACTTCTTGAAATTTTTCTACTGGTAAGGGTCGGAATTTTCTTATCTCCACTTAGGAAATCAAATACAGTAGAAATTATAAAACTACATAGGAATCATAAGTATGTACAAAAAGAATTTTGTTAAAAAATTGATTTACACAGACTAGAGTTGATTATAGCTAAATATACTGGAATTTCTTATCTCAGATTAAGATCTTGTCCTATAGAAGAAACTTTTTATTTTTGTTTTTTAAGACGAGCTCATTCTGTCACCTGGTCTACAGTGCAGTGGTGCCATCGCAGTTTACTATAACCACAACCTCCTAGACTGAAACGATCTTCCCACCTCAGCCTCCCAAGTAGCTGGGACTAAAGGCACATACTACCACACCCGGCTAACTTTTTTAAAAAACATTTTGTAGAGACAAGGTCTTACTATGTTGCCCAAGCTGGTCTCAAACTCCTGGCTTCAAGTGATCCTCCCATCTCAGCCTCCCAAAGTGCTGGGATTGCTGACACCACGCCCAGCCACAAAAGCTTTTTAAATTGAAAGAATAGTTTTCTGTCTGTCATATAGGATTGTAAATGGAAAGTTAAATAAGAGAATAAAATATGACTCAAAGCTAATGAAAACGTTTTGTAAATGTGTGGTACTTTGATACATAGAGACAGATAATTCATAAAAGAACTTCTAAGTGAAAAGTAGATACAGTGGCTCCACATATAACCAGAAAGATTTGTAGAAATTGACTCTGACTCCAAAGTCTGAATTTTAAGAGTATCAGAAAAACAAGGTTTTCAAATTGAGTATTCCTATGAAGGAAAATGAAACAATATCTTAGAGCTTTTTCTTATGTATCATAGAGTGAAGAGAATATCTCAGGGATGACAAGCTTCCGTGAAGTTCTGGAGAAAATGCTGGTCATTGTTGTGCTACCAGTCAGGAACAGCCTGAGGAGAGAAAACGAACTCTTCTCCTCCCACCTTGTCTCGAACACCTGTGGATTACTGGCCAGCATTGTCAGTGAACTGACAGCATCAGCCCTGGGATCTGAGGTAATACATTATATTTTGACACTGGATAAAAAGCACACGTGTAAGTGTTTTACAGATTGGATTAGCAACCCCAATGCATTGTTTTTCTTTTTTGCCCTTCTCTCTACTTCCTACTTGCTCCAATTTGTTACTTCTCCCTCACCAGTTTACCCAACATCCACAGGAATATAAAGTATACATTTTCCTCATAGAGCAGGTTGTCATCTGCCCCATTGCACAAGCCCACCACCATGCCCCGGGAAAAGCAAAGCTAGTTGTCACTGCTGGGAGATGAGTAACGTCCACTCAACTGACCCTACAGAAATACATATTTAAAATCGGAATAGTAATTTTTATTTCACCTGTATCACAGGTTTTTTGAAATTGCAGTAAAATATACATAATATAAAATTTGCCATTCTAATCATTTTTATGTGTACAGTTCGGTGGCATTAAATGCATTCACTTTGTTGTACTTAGTTGTACATTGTCATGAAGTTTTCAAAGTATCAAGTGTTATTATGTTTGAGAAAATCACTTTGAAAGTGCCTTTACAATTTATACAGTAACATTATTTTATTCCATTTCACTGTCTTACTCTTTCTTATAACTTAACTGAATGTTTTGATTGAATTTGGGGAATGTTTCTGTTTTTTCCTCCTAAAAAACAGACAGTAGATTGGTTTGGAAAATCATGTCCTGATGTGAAATATCTTACATCATTCAAATGAATGTTTAATAACCAGCATGTATTCAGTGACCCTAGCTCTCAAGCTCTTGTCAAGGAACTTCTTTTCTCTATTTTACTTTTATAATTCCTAATCTTTGCTTTTTCTTTTAAATTTATTTTAACACCTATTCTGAATTAACCCATCCAGTGTATATGCATTATTGATTCATTATAACAGTTTAGCCTTTAGAATTTGTGGTTCATTGCATATACTTGAGCTAATTTTAGTCCCTCATCCTGGGAAGCACTTTCTAAGTTTCTTGGTTAACTTTGAGTTTGGCCTTGGAGACTATTGCAGCCCTTGTCAGAAATTTTTTAATTTTTTATATTTGTTCATTTAGTCTACAATACCTTCCTACTCTGCAGGATGTAGGAAAGTCTGTAATGTGTAGATCCCCTTCCAAAGTTTACTAAAGAGTTCTCCCCTTTAAACTTACCTTTCCAATGAAAAAGAATACCAAAAGTTACAGGGTGCCTGGTATACAACTTTGGGAGTTCCCACAGGTCCTGGCTTAGAGATGAATATTTGTTTCTCAGAGCAGTTTGCAGTTTTTGTTAGAATCATAAACATCCATATTTTTCTCTATTTAGTCTCCCAAAATTCTGCAGCCAGCTTAGATTAGAAGTAGGTTTTGTAAATAAAAAGAGCAGTTTCAACCCAAAATAAGTTCTCTAATCCTCTCTAGTGAAAGTCTATAATTAGTATGGTTGCACATGTGTGTGTATGTATTCAAATACTGAATGCTGTTACAGAAATATCGCTGTATATATTCGTAGTATTCAATCTTAGGCTATAGACCATTTTCTACAAATGAAGTCTTACTTGCAAATTCACAGGTGAGAGGAGAGAGGACATAGTCTGGTTGAAGAGGGGAACCATAAATTTACCTCTTCCTTGCATACCTTTCTCTGCAGAATTTCTAGAGCTCTATGTCACATAGTTTGAAAACTGTTGATCTGTAGAATTTCGATGACATTTTTAGCATCTCTTCTCAAAGTCTAGTGATTTATTCATACATTATGACTGATAAGACAAGCTTGTACTTCTAACATTATAAATTAAGTGGAAAATATAGTTTCATATGGCTGAAGGAAGAAAATACTGTCAAGTGACACTGATTTGTCAATTTAGAATGATAAAATCTGGTTTTATTGTGAGTTAATCTCTCAGTAGAACATACGTTTAGAAATGCTTATACCCACTTATTAAATAAAGGTTATTTTATTAGGCTTCTTAGAAACCTTTGGATGGTTTTGTTAAAGGTGTACAAACTACTGATGCAGTTGCTTTTGTTGTTCACAGGTTGATGGACTTAATTCTCTTCACTCTGTAAAAGCTAGTGCTAACCGATTTACAAAAACAAGTCAGGGCAGAAGCTGGAACACTGGGAACGGGTCCCCTGATGCAATCTGTTTTTCAGTAGACAAACCTGGAATAGTTGTAGTTGGTTTCTCTGTCTATGGAGGAGGTGGAATTCATGAATATGAATTAGAGGTCTTGGTTGATGATGTAAGTATCACCCTTTCAGCATTTATCCTGATTAGTGGGTTGTATATCAGGATTTACCATTGTCACAGTATGATGGGTCCATACCTTCAGGGGTTTACTAGATCAATCACAGATGAATGACACTAAAGAAACTGAAAAAGGCTGGCCACAGTGGCTCACACCTGTAATCTCAGCACTTTGAGATGCTGAAGCAGGTGGATGACTTGAGCACAGGAATTCGAGACCAGCCTAGGCAACATGACAAAACCCCATCTCTACGAAAAATACAAATATTAGCTGAGTGTGGTGGTACACGCCTGTAATCCCAGCTACTCTGGAGGCTGAGGTGGGAGGATCACTTGAGCCCGGGAGGTTGAGGCTACAGTGAGCCATAATCATGCCACTGCACTCAAGCCTGGGCAGCAGAGTGAGACCCTGTCTCAAAAAAAGAAAGAAAGAAAAGAAACTGAAAGATAATGATTTTACCTCATTGCTTGTGTTCCATCTTTCCACCTTGGATCACTACTGCTTATATTTTTTGTACTTTCAAGAGAAAGATTTAAAGTGGAAGTAAAGACTAAAAATTATTTAGCTAAGTCCCTGATGACAAGTCTTGAGTAGTTTTTTTTTTATATTGTAATTTTTCAAGAAACACAATGTTCAGATGTCATAGAGTACTAATTCAGCTATATCTTTCTAATCCATTCTCTAAAATTACTTAAAGTACCTGAGTTTTATTAAAATAGGACAGAAAGGGGTAGCATGTAAGTCATTGCCTAGTAAATAGCAAGTCTATCTCTATCTCTAACTTGATTTTTTTGTTTCATTTTTTTTTTTAGAGTGAACATGCAGGAGATTCAACTCATTCCCACAGATGGACGTCTCTGGAATTAGTGAAAGGAACTTACACAACAGATGACTCACCCAGTGATATAGCTGAAATCAGACTTGACAAAGTGGTTCCTTTAAAGGTAGTTTCAACTGTATGTTTCTATTGTGAATAAGAGGAATTATTATGTAGTTAAAATAGTGAAGAGTATTCCATGAATTTTGTTTGTTAGATACAGCTATTCGTAAGTTATCCTTTATATGGTAGGTACTTCAGATATTTATGGAGTACCTACTATGTACCTGATGTTGTACCACATTATATTATATTTTTGTAAAATGTTTCTTAAAGTCTGGAGTAGTAGGAAGCTTTGTAGTCAAACAGATTAAACTCTAGATACCTGCTGCTCCAACATACTAGCTTTAAGACACTGACAGTTCATTATTTAACCACTTTGAGACTTATCTGTAGATTGGAAAGAATAATACCTGCATTGTAGTATTGTTGAGATTAAATAATAGAAATAAAACACCTGCCTCAGTGTCTAGCACAATATGAAAAATAAACATTAACCGTGTCTTTTCTTCTCTTATTGTGCCATAACTCATTTAAAAAAAGCAAGTGTTGTTTTGTTGTTTTGTTTTGCTTTTGTTCTTTTTTGTTTTTTTTTTTTTTGAGATGGAGTCTCACTCTGTTGCCCAGACTGGAGTGCAGTGGCATGATCTTGGCTCACTGCAACCTCCACGTCCTGGATTTAAATGATTCTTCTGCATCAGCCTCCCAAGTAGCTGGGATTACAGCCACGTGCCACCATACCCAGTTAATTTTGTATTTTTAGTAGAGAGGGGCTTCACTGTGTTGACCAGGCTGGTCTCGAACTCCTGCCCTCAAGTGATCCACCCCCGTCAACCTCCCAGAGTTCTGGGATTACAGGCGTGAGTCACCACACCCAGCCTATTTTCTAACAATATTTGGCAAAATAGAGAAATTTTACCACATCAAAGTAATTATAAATGTTAAAGTAACGTTAAAGTATTTCTGAATTCAACTGAAATAAATTTCATTATCGGACAAAATTTTGGATAAGATCGGTACATGAGAGATTTCATCAGGAAGAATTTAGATACTGAAAAACCAAAAAGCTTTTATTGTGAAATTTATATCATGGTTCATAAAGCATTAGTTTCTATAGCTCACATTTTCAAAGTACAGTGCATTATATTTTGGACAGCTTTTTTCCTGTGGTTTTTTTTTTTCTCATGTCTGTTTGCCTATAAATTTCTATCTCTGAGTTTTTCTTAAAAATATAGTAGAGTCACCCTTATTTTTTTCTCACATCTAAAATTATTTTAAAAGTTAAACTAGTCAAGGAAAAGTATCAGCTTATGCAATTAAAATCTCGTATTGCTGGGCACAGTAGCTCACACCTGTAATCTCAGCACTTTTGAGACCCCAGGGAGGGAGGATCACTTGAGCTTGGGAGTTTGAGGCCGGACTGGGCAGTATAGTCAGACCTTATCTCTACAGAAACACCTTAAAAAATTGGCTGAGTGTGATGGAACGCACCAGTGGGAGAATTGCTTGAGCCCAGGAAGAGGAGGCCACATTGAGCCAGGGTTGCACCACTTCACTCCCAGCTGGGTGACAGAGCAAGATCCTGTCTCAGAAAAAAAAAAAGAAAAATTATTATGGCTAATATTCTAGCAGTAAAATTACGAGCAGGCACTAGTTACATTGGTTGTGTTCAGACCTAGTTCCATCACTTACTAGCTGTGTGACTTAGAACAAATTACTTAACTTCTCTGAACCTCAGATTCCTCATCTGTAAAATAGGGATAATAATGATACTTACCTCATGAAGCCATTTTAAGGATTAATTGAATTCCATAAAGTACTTAGGACAGTTGCTTTTATGCAACAGGCACTCAGTAAATATTAGCTGTCGTCATGTTTGATTCATTAAAAACTTGTATCATCTGTAAATATGATAAGAAATTTCAGTATATTTGCCTATTTTACTGCTAGAGTTCTTTTTGTATATCCTCTGTACATTGTGAATAAATGTAAACATGTTTTACATCTTTATAATGAAGGAAAATGTTAAATATGCTGTGCGCTTGAGGAACTATGGAAGCCGTACAGCCAATGGAGATGGAGGAATGACCACAGTTCAGTGCCCTGATGGTGTGACGTTCACATTCAGCACGTGCAGCTTGAGCAGTAATGGCACAAACCAAACCCGAGGACAGATCCCACAGATACTCTACTATAGGTGGGTGAATGTATAGAGATAAGGGAAATAGTTTACAGTGGTAGAACATACACAGTCTATTACCAGGTAAAATTGCTAAGTGGATAATTATAATTAAATTATACAGTGTATCTTCTTAGCACATACTCGTACAAATTCATATAAAGAAATCTTTTAATATATAAATTCAGTGTTTGCTACAAAAGTGAATGCTTTACAATATTTTTGCTGTTATTTCTTCAGTATCATTGAAATGTTTGTGCACTGGGCATGTGTGCTGTTGCTGTCACTCTATAATTTCTGGTCTGCAATTTCAAATTTAAAGGGTATTCATTTCTTTTTATAAAATGCCTCAAACTAATGATCAGATAGACTGTACTCAGATAGTGGTGTTGCCTTGATCCTGTTGTCCAGTCACAGAATATTTTGATGTCTGTGAATCTTGGATCTGCCCTGTCTAACCCCTGGGGCCCTAGAATATATAATAGCGTGTTTCTTACAATGTTTTTAACAAAAACCATTCCTTATGTAAACCGTGGAAAATAAAAGAATGATAACAACCCTCGGGTTAAAAAAAATCTTTTAAATACACATTTCTCACTGAGTCTGAATTTTTCTTGTAGTGGTGAAGCTGATATCTTAGGTAGTCATGAGTACCGTTTGCTACATTTGTCCTCAGCCTGACTTAGCATTAAATCACTGAATTTCCGTATCACTTTCAGAGGCTTGCTGCTTCCTCTGTTTCCTTCATAAAGAGTCTAGGGATGGTGCCTAGGTAGATAGTATAAAATAATTTCCCTAGATATAGATTTTCTGCTTCCTCTTTCCATGAGAAATAGAATAGAAATAGCAGGCAGTAAATAGCTATGTAGTTCAGTGTTGCTGCTGAAATATAAAAGCTGTCTAGTCTTTTGCCCCAGTCAAGAAAAACTGTCTGTTCCATAAGCACTACAATAAATAGTACATTATTCTCTTTCTTAAACTATGGATTAAAAACTCTGTTATGCATACGAGTTACATACTTCAGAAAGCTGGAGAGCCACTAACAGCATCTGCCATCCAAACTTTGTATCTTATACAAAATACAGTGTTTTGAGTATTTTCTTGTTTTCTATAAAGCTTTAAATACCCTTAGCTTTAAATTTTTTAAAAATGAAAAATACTAAAGTCCTTTAGTTTTAAATACCATCCTGCTCTGATAGCTCCCAAGTTTACATCCCTAGCCTTCATGACCTCTGAACCCCGGACTCCAGGTCTTTCTCTGACATCTTCATTAGGATGACACTAGTGGAGGTGGTGTTAGTTACTGTGTGCCAGGCTGTGCTTTGAGTGTGTTACCTGTGTTATCTCAGCTTGTCCTCGCAGTAACCCCAGGAAGTAGGTACTTTTCTTATCTGTGTTTCACAGATGATGGAACTGAGACACTGGGTAGTCCAGAGTCACACCTCTGGTAAATTATGCTACTGCGACCTGTGGGCAGGAAGTCAGATTTCAGGTGATACACCCTTAACCAGTATGCTACATATTTTCTTTAAGGACGTTCGCTATAGTTGGCTAGTAAACATCTGAGGTTTCATGTGGCCAGAATATTCATCTCCCACAGTTACAGCCAGACACCTTGGAGTCATTCTTGACTTCTCTTTCCCTCATACCTAAACCTAGGTCATCAAGAAGTCCTGTCAGCTGTACTTTTAAAATGTCCTGAATCTGGTCTTTTCTTCTACCTCCATATTTAATAGTCTAGACCAAGCCACTGCAACCTCTACCTGCTAACTGTAATGAGCCTCTAAACTAGTCTCCCTCCTTTCACTGTTGGTCTCCTACAATCAGTTCTCCACAGCACAGTCAGAGTGATCTGATAAAAATATAAATCATACCAAGTTCCACCCTTGCTCCAAACCCAGCTTCCCATTCCCATACCAGTATAAAATGTCATTATGTTGCCTACAAACCTCACACAGTTTGACTCCTGTTTCACTTCCCACCCATCACCCTTCACTCTTTCTCCTTTTCTTCTAGCCATGCATGTCTTCATTCTGTTCCTTGAATTCACTAGTGTGTTCCTTTTGCCCTGACAGTTTTCCCTCAGCTCTTCCCATGAGTCTTTAAAAAAAAAAAAAAAAAAAATTCCCGTCAGCTGAGCGCGGCGATTCACTTCTATAATCCCAGCACTTTGGGGTGGATCACAAGGTCAGGAGTTCGAAACCATCCTGGCCAACATGGTGAAACCCCATCTCTACTGAAAACAAAAATTAGCCGGGCGTGAGGTGCATGCCTATAATCCCAGCTATTTGGGAGGCCGAGGGAGGAGAATTGCGTGAACCTGGGAGGCAGAGGTTGCAGTGAGCCAAGATCGTGCCACTGCATTCCAGCCTGGGCGACAGAGCAAGACTCTGTCTCAAATCGATAAATAATTTAATTAATTAATTCAGGTCTTTGTTAAATAGGAGTTCCTCAGAGAACTGATCTTATTTAAAATAACACCCTTCCCATTATGCCCTATGCTGCTTTATTTTTCTTCAAAGCCCTTATCATTCCCTATAATTATATAGTTGCATGTTTACTTTTTTAACTTTAAAAAAACTATGAATTAAATGAGGATCTCAGATCCTGGATGATTTCTGGCATTGGATCATGTTTTACTTACCATTGTAAAATAATCTCATGTTTGCTCATGCTACAGGAGTGAATTCGATGGAGATTTACAATCCCAACTTCTGAGTAAAGCCAATGAAGAAGATAAAAACTGTAGCAGAGCGCTGTCTGTTGTAAGCACTGTCGTTCGAGCCTCTAAGGACCTCCTGCACAGAGCTCTTGCTGTGGATGGTAAGACTTTTTCTTTCCCAATAGTCAGATTTTAGATTCTTTATTCGCTAAATTTTTGCATAGAACTATTGAAGAGGAACCTTCTATTATACTAATTGTATAGAATCTTAAGTGTTTTCTTTATTTATAGATCCACACGTGCATTAATTTTGGATAAGTCACACTCTCCATACTGTAACGCAGAATTATTTAGAATGCTCAAAAGGAGTTATCATATATTCTTATTTGCTTAGTTAATTTAGTAAAAGAAAAATTGTATTTGGTTTAAACTGGGTCTTTAGTCTTCTTTTAGTAGTCAAAAAGGTTTTTCTTCCTCTCTGTTCTGTTTCCAGAAATGTATCGCTATCCACCCAAAACTCTGGGGAACCGTAACCATCTCCTCAGAGGCACTTGTCTAAATTCAGCTCTAGGAGTTTTCCCCTAGAAACTCTCTAGTTTGTATTCTCCTCTCTCTCAGTTCTTCCCCTGCCATCGTTTAGGCTGCCATGGTGCAAGTACATGTCATTTTTTAATATAGGGATAATACCCAATAATGTCACTGCTACCTTTCCCCCATTCTCCATCTAGCTGTTTAGTTATTCTTCACACTGGCACCAGAGTTATCATTATGAAAACATTGTTATGGCTGGGCATGGTGGCTCACGCCTGTAATCCCAGCACTTTGGGAGACTGAGGTGGGCGGATCACGAGGTCAGGAGTTTGAGACCAGCCTGACCAACATGGTGAAACCCCGTCTCTACTAAAAATGCAAAAAATAGCCGGGCATGGTGGCAGGTGCCTGTAATCCTAGCTATTCAGGAAGCAGAGGCAGGAAAATAGCTTGAATCCGGGAGGCGGAGGCTGCAGTGAGCCAAGATCGTGCCACTGTACTCCAGCCTGGGTGACAGAGTGAGACTCCATCTCAAAAAAAAAAAAGAAAAAAAAAATTGTTACCGCCACCTCCTTACTGTATAACGTTAATTCCTAATCCTAGTTTAACATCAGAACAACCTGGAAAGCTTGCTGAAAATAAAGACTGTTGGGTCTATCCCCAGGGCTTGAAGGTAGGTTAAAAAACTGTTTTTTAAATAAGTGTGCAGCCTGTTTTGATGTCACAGCAGACCTAGGAATCAGTATTTGGGAGAATAATTGGCCTATAAAATAAAGGTCTTCACAGTATAGGCTTAGCTTATCTTTCCAGCACTATGTTCATGGATAACTGAGTAAAATGTTAATCAGTAAAGTGCTTTTCTTGGAAAAACAGAAAGCCATATAGCTTAATAACAGTAAATGTTTTTGGAGTGCTGAATATGTGCAGGTGTTGTTCTCAAGTGCTTTACGTATATTACCTTGTTTAATCTTCACAACATCCAAATGAGGGGAATACTGTTGTGATCCTAAGTTACAGATTAAGTAATTTGCCTAATGTCACTGATAGAGCCATGTTTGGTGCCAGAATGGTAATTTAAATAAAGGCTCCATTACCCTAGGTTCCAGCTCTATTATTTTACAGGTACGTGTATTAAGTATTTTGGGTAAGATACTTAAACACTGTGTGCCATGGTTTTCCTTTCTAAAAATTGGGGATAATAAAAGTTTCTTATTGTGAGTATTAGTTGAGATAAGGCATGTATTCTAAAAAGCCTTCAGAATAGTATCAGGCCCTTGACAAGCACCCAATTAGTGTCAACTATAGTTTCGCTCAAAAGAACAGAATATAGATTTAGTATAGCATGTATACAGTACAATGAAATTACATTCTAACTGTAGTTTTAATGCCTTTTATGCGTTTTTTAGCTGACGACATTCCAGAACTGCTGAGTTCTTCCAGTCTGTTTTCCATGCTGCTCCCCCTTATTATAGCGTACATAGGACCAGTAGCTGCTGCTATTCCCAAGGTGTGTAATTTAATTCTATAACTTTGAATGTTTTTTTTAAATACCTTTTAAAAACAAAGACTTTGTGTCTTGTCTTTACAAAAACTTGCATCTTTGAGGCATCTGGGATATAGGTAACAAGCAGAGAGAGATACTAATTATTATACTTCTCTGTTCTTCTTCGTATTGTTTACTGGATTGCTGTGCTTATTTGTTGGCTTTACATTTGAAGAATCTGTGAATGGGAAATAGATTTTAGAAATTTTAGAAATGTGACATGTACGGAAAGATTATGTTAACTGAGATTTTTCAAATTTATAAAGTTGATGCCAGATGGTCTTCATTAATAAGAATAGCAATGTTAAAGGACAAGAGCGTTTTAAAACAGTGACATATTCAAGAGATGGAAGAAATGATAAACTATTGATTCTTTGGCATAATTAAGTAAAACATGATTTACTTCAGATCATGAAAAAACGAAAGTGTTTAAAAATATAGATTTAGATATTGTCATGTAACATCTAAGATAAATCTTTTTTTAATCAATTGAACAGATTTCTCTTTGAACAAAAACTTAACTAGTAGAAAATTTAGACAGAAATTGTTATTAGAGTAACCAATAATTATTGTAATTCATAATTTTAGAACTACTTTCACATGTATCTCATTTAACCATATTTTTATATGTGTACTAGGTGGCTGTAGAAGTCTTTGGCCTTGTCCAACAATTGCTTCCGTCAGTTGCCATTTTGAATCAGAAGTATGCACCCCCTGCCTTCAACCCTAATCAGTCGACAGATAGCACCACAGGAAACCAGCCTGAACAGGGCCTCTCTGCTTGTACAACCTCCAATCACTATGCTGTCATAGAGAGTGAGCACCCGTATAAACCTGCCTGTGTGATGCACTACAAGGTAGGCACCAGTTCTTAGTGTGATTTGACTGTAAAACTTGGTGTGAGGTTCTCTGATGATATCTTAAAGAATGCCTGGCCTGCATTTATGAGTGTAGCTTCTTTTATAGTATTTACATATAGAGAATCAGCAGGTGATTGGGCATTGTTGGATATACAGAATAATTTAAGACGGAATTTTTATCTCAAAGATGATAAAATTTTATTGGTTTATGAGGGTTGTTCTGAAATCTTCCTACAAGTATAGTGTGGTATATAATGCTAAACTTCATGCTGTGATTTGTAATAGTAGTAGATATAAGCATTAACAATTTAAATTATATTTTTTGAACTAGCATTATTTGTACCACAGCCTGAGCTCTGAAAATTTACAACCCCAATGTAAGATTTAAAGTAGTCTATACATAATGTTAAAAAAACTATGTATAAAATGATTATAAATTTAGTGTTATTAGAGAGTGTTCAAAATCCATGTTCTTTGTTTTTTCATTGTATCATGCAAATTAAGGAAGAAAAGGATAAATTTATATTTTGTGTGCTTATAAAATATTGCACTTTTCATGGTAGAAGCTATTAAGCGTCTGTAGAGGTAAAAAGGCTAGTACAGTGCACTTGTTTATCCATCTCCCGGATTCAGCAGTGTCAACTCTTAGACCTGTCTTATTTATTCCCTACCTGCTTCCTAACCCTCCTGTATTGTTTTAAAGCACATTTATAATATTTATTGACACAGTGTCTCCAAAATATAAGGACCCTTAAAAATACCCATAGTATTATCACACTGAAAAAAAACAATTTAATGTCTTCAAACATCATGTAAATTTTTAATAATTTGAGTTAGAATCCATGTAAGATCCATACATTGTGATTAGTATGTCTCTTAAGTCCCCTTTAATCTTAAGTTCCTTTAAATCTGTAAGACTCCCTCTGTCTCTCTCTTTTTTTGTTCCCTTGAGTTCTATTTGTTGAAGAAACTGGATCCTATATGTTTGTTAGATGGGAGCCTCTTCAGCTTACCTGCTGGGTCTTTCAGGCACACCCCTTGCAGTCATTCCTAGCTTCCTTGCTTTCTGGTTGGATAAGATGTTCCAGGCTCCTTTTATATGTTTAATGCCTCAGACTTGGAACAAACCATTTTTTCAAAGTGTCCTAATTTCTGTTATACATACACACACACATGTTATGTTTACATATGTATATATATAAATGTGTATATGTTTATGTATAGATTTATGTGTATGTATAGTTTTTAAAAGATAAAATACCTCATGAGTTTATACCGTTGATACTAATTCAAAATAAGGACCACAGACACACCTCAGTCTCCTTTCTCCTACATCTAAAATTCCTATTAGTGACACTGGGAATATCAGAATTCAAAAATCATTTAAATTATTTCATTTGGGGGGTGTGTGTGTGTGTGTGTTGTCTTTGAAGTATATCCCATCTAAATGTATGGTCACATTACTGTGTTTAAATCTAGTTGGAATGCTCCCTCTTTGCATGATTATACGTTCATTGGATATACACTTATAGAGTCGTTTAATTTTAGAGTTTAGGAATTGCTTTTTAAATTTGGATTTTGTTTTAGAATTCTTTAAATACTTACATAGTTTGAAGTCAAATTTATGAAACAAATCTAGCTTTTATCTCTGTCCTCGTCACTCTGTTCCTCCTTCTCTGTCATAGGTAACATTTTATTCTATTTTGTATTTTGTAGTTTATCCTGTTGTGTCATTTAATAAAAGCATAGACACATATACACATACAGATGCAGATGTGTGTGTTTGTATGTCTATATATCTGTATTCATGTTGCCTTGCCTATTGGCCTCAGGTGACATTCCCAGAATGTGTGAGGTGGATGACAATCGAATTTGACCCTCAGTGTGGTACTGCACAGTCAGAAGATGTCCTTCGTTTGTTGATTCCTGTCAGAACTTTTCAGAATTCAGGATATGGACCAAAATTGACATCTGTTCATGAAAATCTTAATTCATGGATAGAATTAAAGAAATTTTCAGGATCCTCTGGGTGGCCTACTATGGTTTTGGTGTTGCCAGGTAAGTTTTTCTTTCATTCTGTTTTATGTGGTAAAATAAGTGCATTTATGTATATTGAGTAGGGGTGTATCATTGAAAATGTTTATCTAATTTTTAGAGAAATTTATTCAAGACCTACCATGTATCTGGATTGCATTTGAGGAATAAATAAGATACCCTGGGCAAGGGGCACAGCCTGATCCAAGTTTCGGAGAAGACAGTGTTTTAAGGATTTTGTGAAAAAAAGATTAGCTTGACCAAAGCAGAGTGTTAACGTTGAGGAGCAACTAGCTAGCTGTGCAGTTGGGGCCAAATTATAGAAAACAATGGATTAAATCTTTTATTTTCCCAGAAAGGCTAAATTTTCAGAACTTAATGAAGGACTGAAGTCCTTCCTTGTAAGAGAATTTGTGAACCACTTTCTTGTGTGAAAAGTTGTGTGAAAGCTGTTTCAGTTGGCTTGAGGGTATGTGTGAACGGGAGAGTCGGAGCATACAAGCACAGTTGTTATTGCTGGTACTGTGCTTTTCTTTAAAAGAAAGTTATTTAAGTAAGTTTTTAAAACTATGCTTTAAAACTTACCGTTTGTTGCATTCTTAACCGGTTAACTAGGACTACTCTTGTTATCCTTCAAACTAATAGGCAATTTCAATTCAGAAACAACTTCTTTCCACTCTGACCACCTATTTGTTTGTTTGTTTGGGAAAAGATCAGAAAAAGACACATGCCAGGGTAGAGGATTGCCCACTTTGAAAAACAAAAAGGCTAACGTCAGTATTTGACAAATAATTGAAAAATGATTGCCCATGTAACTTAAGTACTTTATTAAGCAGGGGAATTTGATTATGAAAAAAAGTAACAATTTATTTGCGATAGACCTGTTGTTTCTAGTGTTATTTTTGGTACAATTTCCTCAAGTAGATATAGGAACGCTCCCCGCCACAAGTCTATTTAAGTTATGTAGTATATGATGTGTGTTTCTGCCTATCTTGTGATAAAAGAGAAAGTCCATTGGATAAAAGAGGGAAATTTTAATAAAATTGTTTCAGAGTTTGAACTCAATTCTGGCATTTTTATTAGGAAATGAGGCCCTTTTTTCACTGGAGACCGCATCAGATTATGTGAAAGATGACAAAGCTTCTTTCTATGGTTTTAAGTGTTTTGCAATTGGATATGAATTTAGCCCTGGACCTGATGAGGTAAGAATGAATTGTCTTTTCATTCTTTTAAGGAAGATTGTGTTTCTAAGGGCTAGTGAGTTGTGCTTCTAACTGACTTAAATTGTACTGTTGCCGCTATTCAAAAAGTCGGGGCCAGGTGCAGTGGCTCACACCTGTAATTGCAGCACTTTGGGAGGTGAGAGAAACCCTTGAGGCCAGTTTGAGACCAGCCTAGGCAATATATCGAAATCCTTTCTCTACCAAAAAATGGAAAGAAATTAGTTTTGACCTAGGGATGTATAATTCTAAATATTTTGTAGTTTAATTATGTACAGTGGTCTGTTTTGCTACTTTTAATACATGAAGAGGATGGAGTTTGTGCAACATGACCCAGCCTTTGAAGTGTAGTTATACCTGCCCTGAACCTGCTCAGTTGGCTATACCTTTCTGAGTAAACAGTTGAACCTGTTTTCACAAAGGGACTGTCATCTTGTCTAAATGTTTTAAATCATACAATAAAATAAAACCGAGGACAAAGTGGACCAAAGTAATGAATGAACAGTGATTTGGACAATGAACCTTTAAACCTGAACCTTACAACCAGCCTGAGATAAAACATTGAGTACTGAATCTCATCTCCTCTCGATTTAACCATTAGCTTCACGTGCTTCCTTCTGATTTCAAAAGTAATGCTTGAATTCAAATCACATTTTGCTGATAATCCATATTATCATTCAAACATTTTTAAAGCAGCAAATTTTATGCAATTCCATAGGGAGTCATCCAGCTGGAAAAAGAATTAGCCAATCTTGGTGGGGTTTGTGCGGCAGCTCTGATGAAGAAGGACCTAGCACTGCCTATTGGTAAGTGTGGCCAACGCTGGATGTTGTGATAGGGTTTTGTTTTGTTTTGTTTGTATTTTAAGAGTAGAATGTATGTATTATAAAAGGTCTGAAAATAGATTTGCAAAATATTCATGAGCAATAACTGCTTCATGTACTGGTAATTTGAGTTTGTCTAAGAGACTGAAGGGTATCCTCTGGCCTTTTTAAATTTACACACGTACATGGACACCCTTTTTATGCAAATACATGCTTTGAGCCAGGGGGTATAGTGTGTATGTTCAGCCAAGCACTGAATATATAGTATTAAACCAAAAATTCTAGATATTTCTTAAATATTCTAGTGGAAATATCAAGTAGATAACTGAATATTCATTGTCTAGATCAGAGGACAGGTAGATAGAAATGTAATTGAATATGCTCATTATTTAAAGATATGAGACTGTATGAAAGATATGCTAGAGAATGTAGATAAGAAAGAGAAGATAGCTTAGGATTAAAGCTGTGACTTACCAAAATTTCAAAGACGTACAGAACAGGAAGAGGAGGCTGCAAATGAGACTGCGAAGGAACAGTCAGTGAAGGAGGAGAAAAACCAGGAGAGAGGATGTTCCTGGGATTTTGGCATGCTCTGAGAAGTGAATTAAAATCTATCATTGGACTTGAAGACTTGTTGGTTGCTTGTATATGCAATAAGAAATATGTTAGTAAAATGAGAGAACTGTAAGTCATTTCAGAGTAGAGAGGGAGAATGGAAAGTAAGGAAGGGCGGTCCATTTGAATTTAGATATCTCTTTAGAAGAATTTTTCACTGGAGCAGAACAGAGATGAGGCAGTGGCAGAAATGGTACTTTTTATATGAAGCAAATTTGTATGATCCACGATTAATCTATAATCAAGGGAGTAAAGTTGAAAATAAAAATGCTTACTGATTCTATAATGTTTATACACGGTTTAAAGTTTTATTTTCTTACCCCCCCACCCTAAAATCTATCTTTACTCCTTCCTTTAAGACTACCCTTCCCACTATTATTTTTTCCTCCCTTTTCTGCCTCTGACTTTGCTTCTTTATTACGTTCTCTCTTCCTGGTCCCTTTTATTCTTCTTCATTCCTTTTCTCCCAGTTAATATTGGTATGTATGTGCGGAAATGAGACCTTGTATTATATCCACATGAGGAAAATTGCTAGCAACCTATTTTTGTCAATAGCTGTTAAAGTTTACATTATATATACTTTTTGACTTAAAAAAATTTTATACATATTTGCACAAATACTCAAAAAGTATATGTTGAAGGATGGATTAATATAGCAGTGCTTGTGATTGTAAAACCCAGAAACAACCAAAATGTCTTTCAGTTGGGAACCAGTTAAATAAGTAATGGCATACCCATTCAGTGGCAGTCTATGCAGCTCTTTGAAAAAGTAGACCTATATGGCCTAACAAGGAAAGCTGTCCAAATTATATTAAGTGAGAAAAGCAAGTTGCAGAAGAGGGTCCCATTTTTGCATACATTATTCTGTATATTACAGAAGAGTATGTTGTGGCTCACACCTGTAATCCGAGCACTTTGGGAGCCTGAGGCGGGTGGATCACGAGGTCAGGAGATTGAGACCATCCTGGCTAACACGGTGAAACCCCGTCTCTACTAAAAATACAAAAATTAGCTGGGCATGGTGGCACACGCCTGTAGTCCCAGCTACTCGGGAGGCTGAGGCAAGAGAATCACTTGAACCTGGGAGGTGAAGGTTGCCGTGAGCTGAGATCGCACCACTGCACTCCAGCCTGGGCGACAGAGTGAGATTCCATCTCAAAAGAAAAAAAAAGAGTATGTTTGTATGTGGTTGAAACACATACACATTTTTGGTTTGTTTGCACACCGAGTTTCTAGAACAACACATAAGCTGTTGACAGTGGATAGTTTTAAGGGGGCATGGCACTGGTTAGAGATTTCGAATTTTTTGTTCTACACTTCTATACAATTTGAGTATTTCACATTGAACAAGTATTACTTTATTAGTAACATTTAATAATGTCAAAGAAAGATCAACAAATACGTTCTAAATTAATAAAGGAGAAAGTGGCTAGGGGATGCAGTCACTGCCTTTTATTTTTCTGTGAGTCCCTGTCATTTACTAAAGTTATAGCTCTTCTATAAGGCAACCAAAATATAAAGGCTCAGATTTGAAATAATTTGCTCCCTCTTTTTTTAGACAAAACGAATACACTAAGTTCAGAAAGTATACATTTATATTCATAAATGTAGGATATATCTTTGGCAAATCACCCATGGGTGCTTCTTGAGTATTGCCTTGAGAATTGTAGTATATTCCCACTGGAAATATCTTATATATTAAAATGTATGCTGCTGGAATTTTTTCCAGAATCACAAATCTTTTCAATCTGGAATAACAGAATTATTTAAAAAAAAAAAAAGTGTAATGAATGCAAAGAACTAGAAAATTAAACTAAACTAAGTATTGACATGTTTTAGTAAAACGTTTTATTCGCACAACAGGTAATGAATTAGAGGAAGACCTTGAAATTCTTGAAGAGGCTGCATTGCAGGTATTGTCCCAAATGTTTTAAGGATAAACTTTGTACATTAATTTAAAAAGTATTATCACTCAGATCAGCCTATTTATCTTGACCATTGGGTCCATTCATTAAGTACTTCACTCTATTCATTGGCATTATAGATATAAATAACTTATAATTGCTCCCTTTGGTGGGAGAAACCCATGTGAGCCCTATGTATTTGGTGGGTAATTGACTCTGGAGTTAGACAAAAGTCCTTTGGGAGAAAAAACAAATCAAGTGCCAAGGGTGCAAAGGATGGCTTGCAGAGCTGTGGCCATTTAAACTGCATCTTGAAAGAATTTTTTTTTCTTTTTTTTTTTTTTTTTGCCAGCTAGAGAAAGGGGAAAGACATTTCACAAAGGATGTATAGTTGTGTTATAGGAAGCAGCAAAAAGTGAGGTCAGTACAGTTGGTGAGCTCAGTCTGTGACAAACCAGTATATCTCATTAAGTGGTTAGGGCTAATTGCCTGTGGACAATTGGGAGCCATCATTTGTTGTTTTTATTACTGTTTGCTTTACCTTTTTTGCTCATTTAGGCATTAACTAGCACATTTGACTCTGAATGGAAATACATGAGTACTGTATTTCAGTGCAGTACCCTTTTGGATCTGTTACATCAACCTAATATTTCTTAAAATTGCTTAGAGATGACTATATTGTATTCTTCATTAGTCTGACTTTAGCTGGCTAGTAATCTGTAATAGGATGGAAATATCAGAATCTGTAGGCATCATTTGTCAAATTGTAATACCTACTTAGGCCAAACCAGAGATTCTGATGTACTGCTAAATGAGCACCGTTGGTTACCACACACTGAGAACATCAGTGATGGGGAAAATTTTGCATCTAGCAATGGTGTGAAGATAGAAGAAAAGTTGAGAGTCTCTCAGCTGGATCAGTGGTGCTCAGACCCTAGGATTTGATAGATTTGTAAAATTTTCCAAAAATATTTTTCCTGAGAACTTATTAGGTAAAAACACTCTTTAAAAATGTACTACTTATTATCAGCAATGTCTTATAAAATAAAAGACATTTTAATAGCCCCAGATGGAAAGGTCTTAGAATGGAAGACTCTGTTATATCCTTAGTTTTTCTAATTCGGCCATGGATCAGAGAACTTTGAGCCCACATTTGGAAAACACCAATTTAGATCATACTTATTTTCTGTACTAGGTATATGTAGTTAGTAGTAGTGATTTAAATAATATCTGTAGAGCACTTGATAGGTTTCAGCATCTTTAATATTATCTCTCTGTTTTTGTAATTACACTTTGAAATCAATGTTAGGTCTTGCATCTTACAATTATAATCACTGAAGTTCAAAGAAGTTTTGTGACTTCTTGAAGACTCAGATGGGAAACAAAGGCTGGTACCCAGTCCTTGTAATTGCTAAGGCTCGTGCTTTACATTTTATTTATTTCCTGAGATGAATTAATCAAAGTGGTAATAATGAAAACATTTATTTCATGTTTATCAAGCACTATTTTAAACATTTTGTGCATTTTTAACTCCCCACAGCAACCCAATGAATTAAAAAGTTTTATCTCCATTTACAAATGCATAGAGCATTTAGGCAGTTCACCCACGATCACACAGCTAGTGAGCAATTGCATTGGGATTTGTTCACTGGCAGTTCGGTGACAAAAGAAACCCTGTCTCATTAGCTGGGCATGGTGGCACATGCCTATAATCCCAGCTACTCAGGAGGCTGAAGCAGGAGAATTGCTTGAACCCGGGAGTTGGAGGTTGCAGTGAGCCGAGATCACACCATTGCACTCCAGCCCAGGCAACAAGAGTGAAATGCCATCTCAAAACA